TTAGGAAGAGAGTAGTAGGAAGGCAAAGAACAAAAAGAACAAAAAAAAGAAGAAGAAGAGAGAAGAGTAGGGTAGTGACTTGTAATCCTCGTTCTTGATGAACTCGACGACGATGTCCTTGTCGGGCTGGATCTGGAGCATCTTGAGGGCGAGGCAGAGGAAGGGGGTGGGCTTGCGGTTGCCGCCGTAGGTGCCGCCGGTGTGGTCGAGCTCCATGGCCTTGTCGACGAGGGTCTCGGCGGTGAGGCCAAAGCACTGCTCCTTCCAGTAGGTGCTCTGGTAGATCTTGGACCGGACGATCTTCTCCACCAGGTTCTGAGGGTTCGTCCCGTGGATGCTCTTCGCCAGGGGGTCCGTGCGGTTCGCCATGCCGCCGCCGCTGCCCTCGCCGCCGGCCGCCGCTACTGGATGAGAGAAGGAGCAAAACCCTAGATTACATTACAAGACACAAGAGGCCTGGGCCTGGACCTGGACCTGGACTGGATTTTCTCTTCTTCTGCTTATGAGGATGAGACAGGCCCACCTTCTGTCGGTTCGCCTAATTGCCTCCGTTTCGGTTCAGCCCGCCTGCAGATGCATGAATAATTATACATTCGTTTTTAAATATTTCATCCGTTTCACAACTTAAGTTATTCTATTATAGTATTTCCTATATTCATATTAATGTTAATAAATCTAAATAGATATATATGTCTAGATTCATAAATATTAATATAAATGTGGGAAACGCTAGAATGACTTACATTGTGAAACGGAGAGAGTATATAATATTATTAACTTGTAGAACATGATGCTTGACCAATAATTTTATTAAAAAGCTGTGTATATTTGTGACTTGTTTCATTACTATTAAAGGTACTTCAAGCGCAGCCTATATTTTCCATGAAAAGTATTACATTTCAAGATTTGGGAGGATTTCCTTGGTACTAAATAGCAAAAAAAAGTAATTAGCTACGCTATGTTATGTTATTCAAACATATAAAAGTGAAAGTATATGATTATCTAAATGTGTGTCCTAGCTTTTGATTATAAACTACTGTGAATTTGATTTTCGAAAGAATGTAATTTTAATATAGGTCACGACGTGTATTACACGTGCACAATTTTAAAAAAAGATTGCCTTAAAAAAGTCATTATTGTTCTATCTTTGTATATACATTGCCAAAACGTGCCTTGCACGTGCACTATTGCTAGTTGTATTTTATGCCTGTTTAGTTCCTAACTTTTTCTTCAAACTTTCAACTTTTCCATCACATCAAAACTTTCCTACACACATAAACTTCCAACTTTTCCATCACATCGTTCCAATTTCAATCAAACTTTTAATTTTGGCGTGAACTAAACACGCCCTTAAAGGCAAATTTTTCTAGAGAACATCGTGACTTCATGGTTTTAGCTATGGGACACCGTAAGTAACTTTTGGGGAAGACACTCTGTAATGTTGGTTATTTGGCAGTGGACACCGCGCCCATTTATTTAGTATTTCAGTGCTGACTAGGCTAGAATGGACCCACTTTTTGACGTATCGTGATCAAATTGCCCCTTCCCATCTCTCAGCCGGCTCCTTCCTCTCCTCACCCACAGCTCAGTGCCGCTCCCCTCCCCTTACCACCGGCCAGCGCTGCTCTCCCTCCCTCCCCCAATCACCGACGACGTTCTCTCCTTCCACCTTCTCCGCTCAAGGCGACAGCTCTTGGAGATGTAGCAGATGAGTAAGAGGACAGCTCCACGTGCAACCGCTCCATCGTCGGAGTCTCTTCTGTTGAGGACACCACTATGAGCACATTCACCACCAAGGCCGTCGGATCGAAAGAGGCAGCGAGGAGGAGAACAGTAGTGGAGCCGCTAGATCCGAGCAGCGGAGGAGGCCTCCTTGACTGCCGTGAAAGAGCTCGACGGTAGCTACAGCCCCTGATCCGCGCTGCCGCTAGGTAGGTCGTTGATCCGTCGACCCAATTTGCGTCGCCAAGTTCCATCTTTTTCCTCACTGCCCCCCGCCTGGCTAAATCCTATGGCTACCACTGGCCTCGTGGTCATGGGAGGGGAGAAGGAGATGATGTTGTCGCCGTCGTCGCTCAACGTTGCCCCACCCAGCCGCTGCTCCGCTCGGTGCTTGCCGGAGACAAGCTCGATGACTCCATGTCAGGGCCGTTCCGCCCAGCGCCGACCTCATCGCTCATGGCCGTGGGAAGGGAGAGGTGAGAGGGCGTCGTTGCCGCAGAGCGGGGCGGCGCCGCTGCCTGCATGCGTTGAGGGGAACTGGGGCACGCCCCCGTGATGGAGGCAAAGGAGACAAGGAGGGAGAGCCGCGATGGTCACCAGCGGCAAGCAGAGGTTGCGTTATGGCCGGAGTGTGAGAGGGAGTTAGTTGTGGGGGAAGAATATGATAAGTGGGCTCAGTGGCATTTTTGACCCTTTACACTGTTTCTCTTTTCTATTGAACCAGAAATTAATATTTTAATGTTTGCAGTGTCCATTAGCATATAACCAAATTTTAAGTGTGTCTTCCACCAAAAGTGACTTCGCGTAGTGTCTCACAGCTAAACCACGAAATCACGATGTTTTGTAGCAAAATTTGCCTATTTTAAATTTCATAAATCTATTTCTGCTATACCTGCGTGTTGCTGCGGGACATCTAAAATACGCGGTTGCAGAATTACAGTGTATGAATCAAAACCATATCAATGGATAATGACTAATCCAACATTAATTAAGGGGAACAATATGTAGGTCGTGAGTGTTAACAGATGACGTGGTCTGGTCTTATAGATTTTCAGTTTTATAGCCATAGATGATTTTTAATGGGTAATACTTAAATAGGAAAGGATAAGAAACGATAAATGGATGAAAATATTTTTTCAACCAAATTACTATTGGGGTAACCTTCTCCGTTAGAAAAACATATGCATTTCTTATTCAAACTTGTACTAATACAAGCATTTCTAAACACCGATTCTAACAGACTATTATAAACTTGAAAATATATTTATTTGATTTTTCTTAAAGAAACTTCTATACATAAAACTTTTACACGAAACACATGTTTAGCAGTTTTGAAAACATATGCCCATGGAAAATAAGAAAGCGTCCATTTCCAATTGTTGTTTTTAGAAACATGCTCACATAGGACGAGGAAGCACGCATTTTTTTTATAATCCACCCTTAGTGTTGGATGTACTTCCTCCGTCTCAAAATATAAGAACTTAGGACCGGATGTGACGTCTCCTAGTGCAACGTATCTGGACAGATTCCTCGTTTAGATATATTGTACTAGGAAACATCCCATTTGATTCCATATTCTTATATTTTGGAATAGAGGTAGTATGCACCAAAACCACATCAATATTATCAATATTGTAAGATGCACAAGTATAAATAAAAGGAAAAAGTCCATATACCCTTAAACTATGGAAAGAAGTTCGTCTAGCACCTTAAGTTTAAAAACTGGATATCCAACCCCGTAAACTTTGTAATGCTTGTTATATTACACCATAAGTTAATTTTGAATAGTGTTTTTTTTTGTGTATTTGCTAGCTTAAATGAACGATTTTGAATATTATAGCATGTTTACGTATTGTCAATCATCGATTACCAATTTATACAGTGATACCATACTACATTCCTATGTGAATGCGAGAAAAAAAATAATGGTAGAATGAAAGACTTAGGTGGAGATTTTAACATATATATCCAATGCATATGTCACATAGTTAAACTCTTCCAACGTATATGTAAATTAGAATAAAATCATTTTACAAAAACATATTAAGTTTTAATATGAAATGGTGTTGTATAATTTGCAAGTTGAATATATGATTTTAAAGTTTAGGGTGCTAGATAAACCTTGAATCAAACTTTGAAGGGTTATTTATATAAAAAAATATGGTAGTATTTTTAACCCAAAACAAACATATTATCAAAATATATTCAATATTAGATTCTAATATTTTCGATGTTGCTGAATTTTTCTAAAAAGGTTAAACTTAACAGAATTTGACTAGAAAAAAATCAAACGGCTATTAATAATAGCGAAGTGAGTAATATTTTTTTTCATATGGTACAACGAAGTTAATATATTTTTTCCTAACAAAAAATAGTACATTACAACTATTCTAATGAAATAGTTGACGTTATGATACCTAGGTACAGGGTATGATGTCTGGTACCCTAACACTAAATCTGATACATACGATACCATAGGTATGTCAGCATGATATATATGTACTTTAGGTACTAAAGAGTATCATGTCTCATACCATAGTACCAGATCCATGAACTATATATGGTACCACACGTATCAAATCTAGTACCACCTACAATACCGTGCTAACGTTAGCACATAATTACTCTGTTCTATAATGTACTCCCTCCGGTTCTATAATAATTGACGTTTTGGACAAGGTTGAGATCAAACTTTTATAACTTTGACCATTAATAACTTCAAAAGTATTTAGTTTTAAAAAACTAGAACAAATGAATCTTTGTGGAAGAAGAAGCGGTTCGCCAGCCGCTACATTCAGGGAAACATATATAGATTTGTCTTTCAAAACACTATAATAAAAGTTAACATGCATTTATTTATTGTGTATATTATAATAGAAAAATAAGGTCAAAGGTATATTTTGTAGACCGTGTCATTGTCCAAAACGTCAATTAAAATGAAATTGGAGGGAGTAAGTATTTTTAGTTGTGTAGAAATATTAAGAAAGTAGATAAAAGTGATTAGAGAATGTTGATTAGAGAATGTTTGTGATTGGCGGAGAAGAAAAAATAGATGAAGAAATTGGTTTTGATTGTTTGAGAGAAGTGGGTAGATAAAGAATAAAACTTAATTTTGGAACAAGCTAGTGAGCTAAAAATAGCTAGTACATTGTAAAACAGAGGTAGTTCAAACTATTCCGTTGGAACGGCGTAACAACAATTAACCCAATTTTCCTAGTAGTAATAAATATAAATATAAAACCAATTCAGAGAAATTCAGGGAAGAAAACGCGTCGGCTCTCGAACCTTCTTGCATTGTGTCGTCGAAGGCGGTTGGACCATTCGGCGGCCGCACCCTCGATCCAAAATCCCCAATTCGCCTTCCACGAAACCCTAACCCTAGTTCTCCGTCTCCGGCGGGCTCTACCGGCGGCGAGGCAAGATGCCGGCGACAGCGGGGCGCGTGCGCATGCCCGCCAACAACCGCGTCCACAGCAGCGCGGCGTTGCAGACCCACGGCATCTGGCAGAGCGCCATCGGCTACGACCCCTACGCCCCGGAGAACAACAAGCACCAGCCTCCCTCCTCCTCCGTCTCCGCCAACGCCGCCGCCGCCAACGCCGCCGCCGCATCCGCCCCATCCGCCTCCGCTCCTTCCTCCTCCTCCGCCGCCGCCTCCTCCGACAACGCCTATACCAGCTTCCAGGGCCTCCTCGCGCTCGCCCGCATCACCGGCTCCAACTCCGACGAGACCCGCGGCGCCTGCAGGAAGTGCGGCCGCGTCGGCCACCTCACCTTCCAGTGCCGCAACTTCCTCTCCGTCAAGGAGGACCTCGACATGGAGGACGATATTGATGCCGGGATTCGGGCCGCCTCGCAGGCCAACGCCCAGGCCAAGTTGGACGAGTTCAGGAAGAAGACCTCCGGAGGCAAGGACGCCGACGAGGGCTCCGATGACGAGGATGAGGACGACGAGGAAGACAGCGATGATTCCTCTGATTCGGACATCGATCCTGAGCTGGAAAGGATAATCGCTGAGCGTGAGCGTGCCAAGAGTGGCAGGAAGCATTCAAGGGATGAAGAGAAGAAGACAAGCCGCCATAGGAGCAGCAGCAGGGGAAGGTCCAAGCACAGGAGGAGCACCAAGAGGAGTGATACCGAGGACGACTTAGAGGAAGAGAGGAGCAAGGACAAGAAGAAGAAGAGTAGGCGCAAGAGGCATGAAAGATCAGATGAGGACAGCGAGAGTGATTCTGACAAGAAGAGGCATAGGAAGAGCAGGAAGGACAGGAAGAGGCGTAGGAGCCATCGCAGGAGTGATGACACATCGGATGAGGATGAGTCTGGAGGTGAAGACAGGAGGCGTCGTCGCCATCGCAAGCGCCAGCACCACCACAGGAAGGGTGCATCCGACGGTGATTCTGGAAGTGGTGCCAGTGACTCTGCAGATGATAGGAAGCGATCTAGCAGGCGGAGAAGGCACCGTAAGTCAGAAAGTAGTGGATCAGATGGTGATGAACGACATGGTCAGGGGGCAAAGCGGAGCAAGGAAAAGAGGGGCAAAGAAGAGTGCTGAAGTGGTAATTTGCTCTCAAGTGATATTATTTACACCCTCTATTTTACCGACAATGCTTATCTTTGTCCTCTGTCCTGGTGTATGTTGTTATTTCAAGCATCATGATTGATATGTATAAGTGTAGTACTTTGTTCCAGTGAGTGAACTTCAAACTTAATATGCATAGAACGTTTTACCTTGAACTTGATAGTTTGTCTGTATTTTAATGAATTGGCTTTGTTTCTTGATGAAACTGCAAAATTGGATTTGCATGGCACCAACTGTAATAATGTAGTAATGGAGCCCTTAAAGCGGCCAGGATACCGAATGAACCTTGTTAAAACTTAGAACCTCTTTCACAATTGCTGATATTCTGAGGATATAGCTTTTTTTTGTGTGATCTTATTTATATTTTAGAAAAAAACAGCTAAGGCCATCTCACTTGTTTATTTCTTGATTTTGCATGTTGGATGTTGCTTTATGCAAATCAACATGTGTGGTAAAAAAATGTCAAGCTAACGAAAATAGTGATGTTGCTCTAACATGCATTTGCAACATTTCTAAGCTATTTACTCGCAGTTAATTTATCCTGGGTTTGGACGTTGTTCGAATTGATTTTGAGGGGACTGGGGACAGTGCACTTTTTACCTTGGGGCTGTCATTCCATATATTTTACCAAGTTTCTTTTTGTTTGTTATGTGCTAATATTATTGATAGTTTGTTTTGTACTAATATTATTTATAGTTTGTTCTGTACTAATGTTATTGATAAATCCAAATATCAGTATTCAGTCTGAATTATTGAAACAATCTAGTATGGGGTTGAAACCCTAAATTTCTGTCTTGTATGACCTTGTACATACACTAAGATTGAGTTGAGAACCTACACTAGTAGGAACTGGTTTGGATTTTCCAAAGCGGTGTGATGAATGCTTCTGGTATTACTAAGTTCATCATTCACAGGGAGGATTGTGATTGTGTTGAACTGCTTACTGAAGTTGTGTTCCTTGTTGACCAGAAATTCAACTTGCACCATGTTAGGATACTCTGTAGGTTCTTTTGACAAGCCACATTCTTCTTTCTTTGGTATGATTCATTTTTCTTTCTTTGATATATTATTTTCTATTGCTCAATGATACAAATGATCCTTTTGATGGGGTGTTTGCACTTTCGCTATGCATGAGTAATTGCTTATCTATGCAATTTACATGAAGAAATATTTCTATGAGAAGAAATGATACTATATGCGTATTGTCAATGATTTTAATTATAAGCGTTTTTGACAGCTTTTGGTTGGTTTGGTTTTGGTTTGTACAGAGAATGGATTAATTTTGTTTGTTGTTTTTCAATAATTTTGGGTTGGAATGGGTTCAATCCATGGTTACGAGGTGGTGTGTTGCCACCGAGTCCCCTGATTGTCAGTCCGCAATCTCCACCAGACCACCATATTGTCATTCTCAACTTCCCTGAAGTTCGATGCTCCCCACTTGATGCCCCTGGATCTGTATCACCGGTGTTCCCTCCTCATCGCCCCTCCCTTCCTCACCAACAAGATCATTACTGCTCTCTCACCCTCTCTCCTATATGTCCTCCTTGGCCATGAAGTATTGGTTTCTTGTGTGAAAGATCATTGTTTCCATGTGTAGAATTTTATCTTTATCTTGAATTGCATGATCTCTCAAGATTAGTAAATTCGTAATATTTCACTTGGGAGGCAAATTGCTTTGAATACTTAGGATATGGGATGTGTCAACTGCAATTATTATGTCCACATCAGTGTTTTGTTTCTGCTAACAGTTTAGCACGGCAGGGTAATTTGTGTGTTGTCATTTCAATGATGCTTTGATTCTTTCTTTGGCTATTAATTGCTTTAGGGACTGCTTTTTCATTAAGTAATCTACCTATGATCTGTAGTATAATATTCTTTGCTGTTTTGATTTTTTTGGTTGTTTACCCTGTTCATTTATTATGGTTTCTCACACCGGGGTTTGCCACTGGATGTAACTACTGGTAGCTCATGGTGCAGATAATTTGAACTTGTCACTCTGGATGTTGAGATGCTATTTTTTTTTATCCTCTAGCAGAGGAAAGCTAAATTTTCTGATCCGAAGGAGAGAAATGTATTTACTGTACTTGTCTTTATGTGGCTGTGGTCATGTCATGTGCTTATGCATCCTTGTATTTCCCCCTGCCAATTTTCTTGAGCACGAGAAATACTGATATCGAGTTGTACTAGTACCAAAGGGGAAAAAAACTTATACATGTTTTCCTTCTACAAGGACATAGCATCATTTTCGTACACATGTTTTATCTGAAGCAAATCTCTTTGTTTAATATTTCACTTGACCGTACAACAGCCCTTGATTCTGTTAACTTTGCTATATGTTATTTGGAAAGAAAATTTTGACTAATGCTTGTTGAGGAGGTTGTACGGAAAATGACTTTCAGAAATTACATATCAAACAGAAAACAATGAACTTGATAGTTACTTGTAAAAACTCTTGTTTACATATGCGCAGATACTTGATACTCAGTGAGGATAAAAAAAAAACAATCTTGTTCTTGTTTCTTGGTTATGATTAGGAGTGGATATTAAACTACAAATGTCAAAAAAAAAACAATCTTGTTCTTGTTTCTTGGTTATGATTAGGAGTGGATATTAAACTACAAATGTCAAAGTACAAATGTCGTGTCACGTCACGTGTGGGTAAAAGAGCAAGCGAGGTTCACATGGGAGCGAGTAATACTGCAGACAACCTGTGTGTCCATGAAAAAGGTAGGCAATGAGGCCCTGTTTAGTTTCAAAGTTTTTTTTCAAACTTTTAACTTTCCATCACATCAAATCTTTCATACACACGCAATTTTTCAGTCACATCGTTTCAATTAAACTTCAGTGTGAACTAAACACAACCTGAGTTGAAGGGTGAAGAATTTTTTTTACTTTTAATTTATTTTCTTTTCGAAAACTTATTTTCAAAATTGAATCTTTTGACCATGCTCCTTTCTTGGCATGGAAGGATAATACTGTTACACCATGAGCACAGAGGGTGTGCCAATGATATCCTAGTATAGCAAACCTTACCACATTAGTCTGGCGTACAATGTTACTATGTAACTTACAGTTATAACCCATAATCATGTATTAGCGTGGCGAAAGGGTTGATATTCGAAACAAGGTGGTTTTAGAAAATAAAAAAAATAAAAGGTTCAATTGTTTTTTTTAAATCCATGCCACATCTACTTCTCCCATTACCAAGTGAAGAACGGGGAGCCAAAATGAGACATGGATTTCTCGTCAGAGATTTGTTAGGGTGAGGAGAGGAACGGCTCGCACTGCGTGTTGGAGAGGCGTAGCCCCGTGCGAACCGGCGACGATGAGCTGATTCGAGGTGTCGACGATCATCCCGAGTTGCTCCACGCGTGGTCGCCGCTGGCAAGGCCACTACCCGGAGCTACTTGGTTGCCTCCAAAGCGGTGGCGCAAGCCAGATCCGGTGAACGTTGCCGCTGAAGAGAAAAGAGCATCGACGGAGAGGAGAGAGGCCACCAATGGTGAGAGAGGAGCGGCGCCGCCCTGGGGCTCGTCACCCCCTGGCTCCACAGGTCGCTGGATCCATGCCAAATCCGTTCGTCCTCGACGCCTTCGATGGCTACGTTCCTCGTCCTCGCTCGATCCACCACCGCCACCGAAGATAGGAGAGCAGCGTCGAAGAGGGGATAGGGAGGGAAGGGAGGGGAGGAGAGAGGCCGCCTGCAGGGAGAGGAGAGAGAGGAGCGGCACAGCCCGCCTGATGGTGAGACGACAGCAGTGCTAGCAGCATGGCAGAGAGCCAGAGAGTAGGGATGGCAATCTCCCCATTGGGATCGGTGTAAGTTAAGTGCCTTAATTTGGTTTTGGTGATTAATGACAAATCTAATTATATGAGACTAATATTTTTATGAGCTTTTCTTTGACTAGTCTCATTTGGATATGAAAGTAAAAAAGATGAGATGTATGTATTAAACTTCATATATTCTAACTTGCTCTCTCTTGTGGATCCAAAATATAGTGTGAGCTTCGTCATTGATCTTGATTGATTATGTGCATATGTGTTCCTTCACATCTTGATGGGGACCTTATTCTATATTTTGTTTATTATAAGATCTCTACCTTGATTTGAAATTATCTTTTATCTCATCTCTCTATATTGTTATATCGAGTTATTATCCATCACCAAAGAGAGAAAAGATTAAAAGATCTTGGATTAAACAATTTGTGTAATTGTTACGTTGGTGATAGATGATAAACCGTTGTTTATGGGATCAACTAGGTTAATTCCCAATAATGAGATGCGGTAGATATGCATTCTTAGGTGATGGACCTTAATCATGACAAGGATGAAATTCATGGAGATAAAGCAATATGTACCACTTCTTATCTCATACTTTTTGATAGTCTCTTTTACATTGGACATCATGAAGGTATGCGTTTTTGTTTATCTTTATCATTTCTATATGCCTTCTCCATGTGTATAGAATAAACCCCACTGGTTCTTCTTTATTTATGCATACACTTGTCTCTCTTGTATATTTATTTGTATGCATATATTTAGGAGGAGCAAATCCTATAAATTTATTGTGCATGTTTTAGATCCATGTTGTTCACCTATTAATTATATCGTATCTTTGCACTTGAGCTTGCATACGAGTATATGAAACTTATGATGTTAATGAATACTCAACAAACATATCCATATCTTTCATATGCAACCGGTTGGTCACCAAGTGGAGGATGACAACCGATTTGTTTGGACTAATGTTTGCCTTTGAGCTGTGCAAAGGAATAGGTCTAGTTGTGATGAGGCTAATGGATAACACCATGGGTTGATGATCGCCAAGCCAAGGATATCGTCATGTTGACAAGGATGAAGTCAAGCTTGTGATGAAAATAAAGTCTTTACAAATGATGATAAAGACCTCGGCATAAACATGGTTCAACCGAATGGTCACAAGTGTTGATGTTGGCTTAAGCATTGACCCCAAGTTGGATGGCACAAGGCAAATGTATAATCAAGCTAAGAATGTTTTCTTAGTCTTTTCCTAGTCCCGGTGTTTGGTGTAGAACGGATTTGTTAGATAGGCGTCGTACTATCAAGAGGGGTCTACGAAGCGAGCATGTGGATGATCTTGTGCCATATTAGTTCATATGCATGTGGGTGCATTTGGTGGGCTTGTCTAGCCAAGTGTGATGAGTTTCCTCAAGTCCCAAACAAAGAGAGAAATGGGCATGTCCAATAGGAGTGACATTTTGTACGTATGTCCGGTGGATGTCTTTTGGAGTGTGAGCCCTTTATCCTTGACAAAATTTGTGTTTCTTGGATGTATTATTCATGGTTTGGATAGCCCTATGAATAAGCTTTCCATAGAGTCCAAGAACATCAAATTCCAAGACCCGAGTTAAGAGACATCGTCATTTTACTAACGATCGGTAGAGCTAAAAAGTGACATGCGGTCTGACTGCAACCCTTATGGTGGTCTGACCGAAGTGTGTTGTTCGGTCTGACCGCAGCTCCCATGACAGTTTGACCGCTGCCCTGAATTTGAAGAGAGGTCTCGTCTTGGTGATCTAGAGCCGCTCGAGCCGAGGCCGGTCTAACCGAGCTGATGGCGGTCTGACTGAACCGTGGCCGATCTGACCGGCCGCTCTATGGCGGTCCGACCGGCCCCCGTGTGTCAGTGCATTTAATGCACTGCAACGACTAGTTTTCTAGCCATTGCAATGTAGTCCGGTCTGACCAGCCACCCCTTGGCGATCTGACTAGTAGGGCACAGAAGTTGGGGATTTCGATTCCAACGACTAGTTTTGGTGGTTGGGGGTACATATACCCACTCTCCAGCAGCAAGAGTAAGGTTATGTCACTCCATTGCATTATCTTGAACACTTGCAAGAGCTCTCACACTCTTGTGCACTTAGTTTATCTAGTGAGATATTGGAGAGTGAGTTAAGCCAATTCAAATGCATTTGCTTCTTTGTTAGAGCTAGTTTGGCACTTGATCATCCTCGGCAAGTGTCCTAGACTTGTTACTCTTGGAGGTTGCCACCTCCTAGACGGTTTGGAGGAGTTTCCCGGTGACCTCTCCGAGAACGTTGTGGAGCTGGCCTGGTGTTGATTGTGAGTGGCTCAGTGTACGCCATCTCTGGAGTGGAGGAAGAACAACCATAGTGATGGAGGCTTGGGAGACCACTTTGTGGGCCGGCTCCCACCTTGCTCACCCCTTGACGAAGGGGGCTTGCGGTGGCTTCGTGGTTTGAGCGGTGAAGTTGGACTCGCCTCAACAGTGACGTAGGAAGTTGGCAAGCTTCCAAACATCGGGTGGAAAAATCCTTCACTTGTCTCCTTTATCTGTGCAAATTTACTTTGAGCAAGTTTACATACTGGAGTTTATTTGTGCTATTATCACCCTAGGCTTGCAAACTTTAATATAGGCCAGCTTCTTTGTGCATTTAGTTGAGACTAGTTGATTTAGGTTTTGAATTGTGTAAAACTGTTTTGGTTTATGCTTCCACATACAAAACTCGGTTTTAGCCAAATGTTTTAAAACCGCCTATTCACCCCCCTCTAGTTGGCCTCCTAGATCCTACAACCGGGGATCCGCCCCTATAGGGCCGGGGGTGGGGGAGAATTGTCACCCGTGGGTGAGTGGGGGAGTGAGATTGCTGAGGGGCGATCGATCGCCCCTAGCGATCAGGCGGACCCCCTCCCCTCCCTCCACGTGGTTTCCTTTTTTGGCACCGCATTACTTTCCAATTTTAGTAAATTTATGCACCTAAAGTTTGTACACCTTAAGTTTACACATCTAAAGTTTAGAGATCCAAAGTTTATATATCCGATTCAAATTTGAATTTGAATTCAAATATTTTTTATACATAGTATTTCTATACATCTAAAGTTTATACACCTAAAGTTTATAAGTCAAAAGTTTACATTCCCGTTTCAAATTTGAATTTGAATTCAAATATTAGTTTATAGAGCCAAAGTTTATAAGTCAAAAGTTTACATACCCGTTTCAAATTTGAATTTAAATTCAAATATTAGTTTATAGACCCAAAGTTTATAAGTCAAAAGTTTACATACCCGTTCAAATTTGAATTTGAATTCAAATATTAGTTTATAGAGCCAAAGTTTATAAGTCAAAAGTTTACATACCTGTTTCAAATTTGAATTTGAATTCAAATATTAGTTTATAGACCCAAAGTTTATAAGTCAAAAGTTTACATACCCGTTCAAATTTGAATTTGAATTCAAATATTAGTTCATAGACCCAAAGTTTATAAGTCAAAAGTTTACATACCCGTTTCAAATATGAATTTGAATTCAAATATTTTTATATACATAAATTTTTCCAACTTTGTTTTTTATTTTTTTTAAAAAAATTATGGTGTAATGTAGTAGGAAGAGAAGGAGAGGAGGAAGGGGGGAGAGAGCCTATAGGGGGGAGGGGCGGGCGGGTGATCGCTTAGTGCCTGTTTAGATCGCGAAATGAAAATTTTTGGGTGTCACATTGGATGTTTGACCGGATGTCGGAATGGGTTTTCGGATACGAATTAAAAAACTAATTTCATAACTTGCCTGGAAACCACGAGATGAATCTTTTGAGCCTAATTAATCCGTCATTAGCACATGTTGGTTACTATAGCACTTATGGCTAATCATAGACTAATTAGGCTCAAAAGATTCGAATCTTTCGACATATGCATGGAGCATTAAATATAGATTAAAAGAAAAAAACTAATTGCACAATTAAGAGTTTTTGTTTGATGTTTTTAAGAAAAACTTTTGGGGAACTAAACGGGACCTTAGCCACACCCACCTGCCTCGTTGCTGCCCATACCGGAGAGCGAGCAGAAAAAGGACAGGGCTGGAGTGACTTCATATTTGTTTATGATTTTTTGGGTGCTCAGTGTAAATTTGTAGGGTGCTCAGTGCAAAATATTATATTACCCTGTAAATTGGAAAATTGTGAGGACTGAGGTGAAAAATTTTAGGGGCTCACATAAAAAATTAAATCCACTTCTAGAGCCACTTGCATTATGTGATGGATAGATTAAAGACATGTTAACTCATCATACGTTGTATCCCGAGGCTCCTCATATGTGAGGCTTGCACTGTGAGTGCCCTTGTAGTACTTGATCCAAGTACTAGTAGTATAAGGCTGTGTTTGCCCAAACAGTTTGCTCGCGTCGTGCCGCTGCTCCCACTCCCCGCGCGCACCGTGCCGCCGCCGACACCACCACTGCTGCGCAGAAAGATTTTTGAAGTGCTACCGCTGCTGCTCCTCCGGCGTGAGGATGACGGCGTGAGGGAGGACCACGGAAACTGTAACGGGAGTGGTATGGTTCTAATTTGAAAAATTTTCAGTGGCATCTAACAAATAACATATTTGTAATGTCATTGATCAATTAACTCATAAAATAAAGCTATTTCTGGTCTAAAACAAAATTATTATTTACCTATCGTTTCTCTCAACCACACACACAACTGTTTTACATTTAAACTTTCTATTTAAACTTTCTATCTAACTGGTTCTTCTCATTATTTCTATCAGCTTTTTTAATACCCATGTATAGTTAAAAATAATTACAGTATGGAGTATTTTACTACTAGGACGGAGGTATACTATCTAGTCCAAAAGAATTAAAATCCTCGGGGGTGTTTAGTTCACACACAAAAATTTTATCCCTGTCACATCGAACGTTTGAATACCTGAATGAAGTATTAAATGTAGGCTAAAAAATAACTAATTGCACATATTACGACTAATTTACCAGATGAATCTCTTGAGCCTAATTGCTCCATGATTTGACATGTTGTGCTATAGTAAACATTTGCTAATGGCGGATTAATTAGGCTTAATAAATTTGTCTCACAGTTTACATGCGGATTATGTAATTTGTTTGGTTATTAGACTACGTCTAATATTTTAAATGGGTATCCATATATCCGATGTGACACGGCAGAAAATTTCACCGCTGAATTTAAACACAGCCCTAATACTCTTAGGTAGTGTTCTTTTCTCCTGGATATAAAGATGAAGATTAAGTTTTTTTAGTAAAACGAGATAATATTAACGTATGATTGATTGAGTCTTAATTATTAGAAACTTAAAAAATATATTAATATGATATTTTAGAAACAACTTTCATATAGAAAGTTTTCGCACAAAACGCACCGTTTATATCTTGATTCAACTCTTGTCAGTGAAGAGATTAGTACCTAAACTATGATTTAATTTTTTTTTTATCGAAGGGAGCAGTACTTGCCGGTGTGTAGACCTTGCTCCCTTGCACTTTGGTGTGAAGACCCAGAAACCTAACTGACCATTATTACTAGCTCTGCAACAGCCTGCACTCGCACGTCCCGTCTTGCCTTGTCTCCGGGTGGTGGAGCGCCTCTTCCCCTTCTCTCTTTGTTTTGTCGATGGAGGTGGAGTACTAGTAGGTCCATTTCCATTTCATCCCCCCTGAAGCAGCCAGGCATTTCCCCTGAAGCAGCCATGGCGACCTTCTGGGGTAAAAACCCTCCTCCTCTTTTTTCGCTTTGCTTTTAGTATTTATTTTCTCCATCACCATTCTTTACACATCACTCACTAGCTACTATGGTTTCTTTCATTATCTACTATATATATGGCGGTGGGCAGGATTGGAGTTGAAGCCCGGTGAGGCCTACACCCATCACTCCGCGCCCGCCCGCCTCCGGATTACCCAGGTACCAAAATCACCTTACTTCTTAATCTCTAAAGAAAAGCTGAAATCGAATATGAACTGTGTCTTGTGATTGTATTCAATGGACGCACTTCGGCGCTTTGCTACTACTTCCTTCCTAATTTTAATGCATCCAACACCATCTTCAGCTGGCTCTCGACAATAAAATAAATACAGATTTGTGTAACATATCAGGATGTTTTCTTACAGCTTTTTCTGACACATATTCTTATGCATCTGCTTCATTAAAATTTAATGCCTATATTTTTCATGGTCTACAAGTGTTGTCTACAGGTGAAAAAACCAATAAAAAGAGAGAACGACTACATCTTTCTCGAAAACGTTACTAGTATTTTAAGATAACAGCGTATACATTTTTGTGAATATTACAATGAGTTTTAAGGGCACCTCAACTCTGTAGAACCCTCTAAAAGTATACTTCTTTTGATGCCATTACCTCTATAGGTACTTAAGGAGTATCGTGACCCTCAAATTGGTCCCATAAACTCTATGTTTTATTCCTTAGAACAAACTCTAAAATTGGAGCCATTTCCATTTTCTCCCCCTAACACCCACTTTCCCAATTGTTCTAAATCAGCTTCAAAATCCCCCCTTTCTCTCTCGCCTTATGACACACTTTGGAACAACATTGGAGTTGCTTGAGCAAAGTGGAACACACTACAAGATCGCTAGTGTTCCTTCGAAAAATTTACAAAAACTATTTTGTAATTATGTTTCCCCATTGATTGACACAAGCCTGATCATGCATTGCATTGTAGAGGTTCCTCCCTTTCTGTTTTATGGATATATAATAGTGGTATTCTGTTTCTATTTGAATTTTGAAAACTAGTAAAATCCCAACAAAACAACTATTCACAATTATCTTACGATATGATTTCGATATTTCATATTTTACAGGCTGTGCTGGGCAGTTGTGATCAAGGTTGGACTACACTACAATGTGATACCAATGACAGGGAGACTGTGCGCCTCTGTGTTTTAAATCCTGGGCTTGCTGTGGCATGTCACCTAGAGCTGGAATTACAGAAGGATGAGAATGTTCTCTTATCAGTTGACGGACAGAACTCGATACACCTGTCCGGATACTACACCTGTTCCCATAGTGGCAATCATGGGCGCAATAGTCAGAAGCCCACTAGTAAAGCTGTAGGAAGTACTGGCTTCAATAAAAAGCATCAAGATATTTCTGACAAGTATGTATATCTTTAATTCTATCCTTCAGTTTCTTTTTTGTTTCATTCAAAGTAGCATTCGCTTCTTTCTTGAAATCCAATAGCTCCTTTGCTTTGTAAACATTCTAACGCCTAGTGGTGGGAAATGCAGGGCACCAGTGATAGAGGAGATACTAGATGACCAGACAGTACAGCAGCAACAGCAGCAAGGTGTTAACATCAGCTCGAAGGATGTAGAACCTTCTCATAAAAATGGTCATGGACAAAATAGTGAATGGTAACTTTCTTGGATGATGCAATTTTCCATTTTTCTTCAATGCAGCATCATGTGTTCTTCCCTTCTATTTAATGTGTCTACAGGGCCACTTGTGGTAATGGTACTGATGATGACAATGATAATAATGGTGCTATGTTTTATCCTTCATCTCGCAACAAAATGGAAGGTACATATTTCACCTATGTAACCATGTAATCTAAGTTATTTCTTTTATCGTTTTCTTTTCATGGCTTTAAAGCCATGATCACCTGAGAATTCTTCCTTCCGTAGCTTTTCTGATTTTTACTTGTATGCTAAGTTGATGCTACAGGGTGTCATTTACCATTGGTCATTGCGCTGATTTTTGCTATAACTAACAAAACTTTCGCATGTATCGTGTTTAATGATTATTCCTTAATATTACTGTTTTGGATGTTGATTCATGGATAGATTAAGGGGCTGACATTGGGTTAAAGGCGAAATTTTTTTCATTGGCGCCATCATGTCCTGATCGCTAGCAGACTCTGATCAAGTTGACTTTATGTTTCTTTATTGCTTCATGTAATGGGGCTACGTCTACGTGTATCCCTTTTGTAGAGAGGGTTCCCCTACTATCCACATGAATAGTAATCGTAAAAAGTAACTTGCCCCTTCAGATTGTAATCTAGTTTCTAAAAAATCTATGTCTCTATCTAACTTATTTAACTACTAATAACTTTTTGGACTAATATGTAGGATATTCAATTAACAAATCCCTTTCCCTAGGAAAATAATTAATCATTTGGGAAATAGGGGTACTGTCAATGCACAGTACTTCTACCATAAGCATTAGTATAATTATGTTCTCATGATGTATCCTATGCATGATATATTGTCATTGAGTGTTGGATTATCAATGACTCTCATACCAAACATAATAAAGAATTGAGCTGTCAACAAAAATATAATAAAGAGGTGATATTTGATTGCTTTGTCTTGACTTGTGTCTAATTCATGCAAGTCTTGAGAAAAACTGACAGCAAAGCATGATTGATTGTTGATGCTATTTTCCATTTTTTTTCTTCTTGCTGGTGATGCCAATGTATATTGCCCACATAAATGCTCATCAATTGGGAATTTATATTCTTTATGCAGTAGACGAGCCCACAGGAAGTAAAGACAATGATTATGATTATTGGCTTCCTTTCCTTGATGCTTCTGTAAAGAGAAAGGCTTCTGAAACTGATGGAGAAAATGTGTACACAGAGAAGTATGCACCTTTTGAATTAAGTCCTTCAATTCTGTTGTTGTTTCATAGAACATGAAGCAACATTTGCTTCATTGGAATTTAGTTTATCTCCTTTGGATGTATTGAGGTATTGTCATTATGTAATAGGGGGGAGTTGAAGACGCCAAAGATAGAGAATGTGCTAAGTGATCAAAGTGTGGATATGGATCAAGTTAATGAACAAACGTGCTCAAAAAATGTGTAAGTATATATTATAAAAATCTTGAATATTCGAATGATTTGCATAATGCTCAATTATTTCCCAAATACAGTGTTTTTTTTTTATAATGCAGTGCATATTTTTCTTGTTCAATAGGGAACCTAATGAAATTGATGATGTAAAGCCAACTCGAGGTCACAAGAATACCATGGAAGGTGATGTTCTTGACAGTACTACTGCTACCATAACATTAGTATTATATTATGCATACATGATGCATCCTGTGCATGTTACAATGTCATGGGTGCTGATTTATATTCTCTGTTGATGGAACTTCCAGGAGATGGAATTAAGCCTATGAATAAACCACATACCAAATATAATAAGGATTAGTGATTTTGTTTGGAGGGTTTCCATTTAAGAGTACAAGGTCCACTTATAGAAGTAATATAATGAAACCTGGACTAAAACTTGTTTGCCCAAACTGGAATTAAACTGAAACTCTAATTGACTATAAGAGGTAACCTCAGAGGAACAATGGTTATATTGGTTAAGTGGGGGAGACAAACTTTAAGCTTGACTTTACTAGCTCAGTCCTTACTTATGTCTAATGCATGGTCGTTTCACCCCCCCCACCCCCCACAAAAAAAAAAAAATCTGCCAGCAATTACTGATTGTCGATGCTATTTTGCATTATCTATTCTTCTCTGGTTCCATCTCTCTCCAATGAATTTATAGGTGATGTCAATGCATAACACCCATATAAATGCTCATCAGTTGGGAATTTTTATTCTTTGTGCAGTAGTACTTCCTCTCCTTGATTCTTCTGTAAAGAGAAAGGCTGCTGAGATTGATGGAGAAAAGGTGCAAATAGAGAAGTATGTACCTTTTGATAAGTCTTGTATTTCTCTTCTTGTTTCATAGAATCATAGATATGAAGCGACATTTGTTGCTGGAAATTAAGTATCTCCTTTGCTATGTTTAAGTCTTGTCTTTGTCTCATAGGGCCAAATTGAAGATGCCAAAGACAGAGGATGTACCAAGTGATCAAAATAATGCTAATCAAGTGAATGAACAAATATGCTTTAAAACTGTGTAAGTGTACATTCTAGAATCCTGAAAATTCGAATGACTTGTGTTTATACTTTGTTGGTAATCCTCTTTAGTGGAACACGTGCTTATTTCTTAAATACAATTGGTACTTTGGATGTATAATGCCGTGTATATTTTTCTTGTTCAATAGGGGGTCCAATGCAATTGATGACGCAAAGTTAAGTCTAGGTCACCAGAATACCCTGGAAGATCTTGACAAGAGTCAGGAGCTAAATGTTTCACAAACAAAAGGGCAGAATGATGTTGCAGATCAAATTACAAATCAAGACACGCCTACAATCACGTAATGAATGAAGCTATATATCACTTCATTTACCAAAATTTCTGTGCTTCTTAATTTTATGTAAGGTAGAGGACTTTTCTATATTTTGCAGGAGCTCTGATGAACGCTACATTTTTACTGGTGCTCTTGAAACTGATATTGAACAAAAAAATCGAGGGGCTGAAAATGAACAAGTTGAGGTCCATCGTTGCCCCTTTGAGGTGCTTGATAATGGTATCAAAGTGGAGCATCTGGTTGAGGGGAATGCTAAAGCCAAAGTTGCATCTAAGGGCAAACAGGTCAGCTTGAACATTCTTACTTATATTATTCAACCTTTGTTTTATTGTAAGTCTATTTTGTCTACAAATACATCACTTATGCACATGTTCAACTTGTCCTTAGTAGGGTGGTACCACCTTATTAAGGTCATAAGCATCCTTTTTTCTCCTTATTGTTGCCTTCTCTTCAATCTTAGGCAACACCTAGGCTTGCCCCATAATTTTCATATGCCAGATCCACTGCCCAAGTTAAAAGAACAAACAATCTAAGTATCTAAGATTGCTTATGCAGGTTTGTGTGAGGTATTGTGGTCGGTTGATCAATGGTGAAGTTATCGACCCTACTAACCTTGACGACGACACCCATACATTCAGGCTTGGTAAAAGGATTGACAAATCTCTCTCTCTTTTTCCATCCTTTGATTCTTTGGACACTGTACATTTTCTTTTGGTTGGCTGCAGGTGCGGGTGAAGTCATTCCTGGATGGGATATTGGCATTCTTGGTTGTTGTCTTTACTCACGATTGCCACTTTAATCCTATTGTAATACTTTGCTGTTGAAATCAAGTACTTATTCTATTACTCTTAACACAAGTTTTATCATGTTTTCTCTATAGGCATGCGTGTTGGTGGCAAAAGGAGACTCACAATCCCTCCTGCTCAAGGGTAAGTGTTTGGTTCCCTTCGAATCCCTCAATATTGTATTTCTCTACGTGTTTGTTGCAGGACATGAAAGGCAATACCTGATTTTCTTGGTTGCATTTGCTTTTCAGCTATGGTGATGTTGCGACACCAAAGATACCAGCAAACTCTTGGCTCGTGTATGAAGTCGAGTTGCTGGAAGTGAAGCGAGCCAAAAGGGCACGTTGACTGGCCTTCTACATGTTACCTAGATGAATGTTTTGGATGCCATCTTCTATTTTACCCTAGTGCCAATGCCTCGTGATTCAGTTTGCGTCTTTTGCTGTCCCATATATGCGCATACTTGTGCTTGCTTGACACTACTACAGCTTTTGGGGATCTTTAGAAGTGAAGTAGTTGTGGATGTGTTGTGAACTTGTTGAACAACTTGGAAGTTTCTCGGCATCTAGTCTAATTAGCAAGCATGCTGCTGCTGTATATATGACTATAATGGGGAGCATTGCAATATATATATGGGACTATATATATATATCCTCCGATGCAGCAAGTTCATTTAATTAGTGCGTTTTGGATTGTAAAAAAAAAAGTGACCTGCCATATATAATTGGTGGCTTGCCTGCCTTGTTTTGATTACTTGGAAGTGATAGAAGATAGATGAATAAATTTGTTTGCTGGACTGATGTAGCAGCACTGATTAGCCTCTGATTACTTGTTAGATGCTCTATTGTTGTCTTATGATTCGTGTTTGATGCCTGCTAGTTGCCCTTATAAGCCCTTTACAATTTTTTTTGGTATCTGCCTTAGAAACTGTAAATTAAACCCTGTAAATTTTGGTACTTGATTTGAAACTATAAAGTTGTACAAAACTAAGTTGCATATGCTTTGTATCCACTACACACGCATATCACCTAATAAGGGTGGTGAAAGATTTTCAGATTTCAGTTTGTATATATACAGAACGAAGTCAAGTAGTATAGAACCTGAAACTATGTCTTAGTTAAACTAGTTTTAGTTTCCGTGAAATAGTGGCCTAAAACTAAATCATTTGTTCAAAATTTAGTTGGCATTGAACCTCGTGTAGCAGAAACAGTACCTTGTCCTACTATGTCTTGCACACGTTTATTAACATAATGGATAATTTCTTGCACATGTGTATATTGAGGATGAAATACATAGTTGGTCCCCAAACTCGGAGTGGTGTGACTTAGGTTTGTGAACTTAAAAATTTACATGTTTAGGTGGTGTTTAAATCCAGGAGTGTAAAGTTTTGGCGTGTCATATCGGGTGTTATATAGAGTGTCGCATGGGATGTTCGGACACTAATTAAAAAACTAATTACAGAATCCGCCAATAAACCGTGAGACGAATCTATTAAGCCTAACTAACCCATCATTAGCAAATGTTTATTGTAGCACCACATTATCAAATCATGGAGCAATTAGGTTTAAAAGATCCGTCTCCCAAATTAGTCGCAATCTGTGTAATTAGTTATTTTTTACCCTATATTTAATATTTTATGCAGATGCTTAAATGCTCGATGTGACATGGTGTAAAATTTTGGGGTGGGATCTAAACAGGGTCTTAGATCCATAAAGAGTCTCACTCCACTGTTATCTACTTGTAGTATAAAAAAATCTAAACCATTGATCATTTTTTAATCTAAAGGACAAGATCAATTTATACTACCACCTTTATTAACAGTAGTAGAAACGGGGGAGGATATAATGGTCAACAAAAAATATATACGCTGATAGGTAAAATGGCAATTTGCATATCAGTTGAAAACCCTTGGATCGTTGGACCGTGCGAACGGCGTGACGGCGCAATTGCAGAAGTAGCGGGGGGCAGCTAGCGCGGTCACCATCACCGGCGGCTGATCTGAGACTGAGAGCGTCGACACCTGCCTCGTGCCTCGTCCGTGGATCAGGAGGGGTGCGGGTTAGGGTCGTCTTGCACGGTGGATCATGCTATCTGCCGTCTCATAGTCGGGGAGGCTGATCGTGCAGCGTCGCCCTCATTTTGATTGATTGTTCATCCCATCTCTTCAGCTGCTATTGGTTCAAGAGCAGGTAACGCCATGTCCCATTTTCTCCCATCACTTCCTGATAAATGATAATGTTGTAGGATCACTATTTTTTTTTAACGATCAACACTAGACAACGCGATGATTCATGGAATAGAGTAGGAAAAAAAATACCTGGAAGATAATAGCTAGGAAAGAAAAAAAATCCACCATCACCACCGTGCACCGACAAAGCTTACACAAAGCCGAGGAGAAGGTTAGCACCGGACCGGGTGCCGCTAGACCAACAAGGAAGTTACATCCGAGACCACCCAAACACAAGCCCTAATAGTCGGCTACCAACTCATCTATCCACGATTTTGGGATTGATGGGGAGGGTGAGAGAGAAGATGGAGCCACTCATCTACCCCGTGGTGCACCAGCCTCCGTGCCACCGCGTGCGCCTCCACTCACCCCGTCGGCCTCCGACGCGGAATCTGGCCAAGGGGGCCAGATCTGGCGACGCCTGTCCCGGCCGCCCTGCCGCCACCGCCACCTCCGCTGCTGCTTCCTCCTTTTTCTTCATCATGTCGCAATCCTCGTCTGAATCCATCCCCATCCCCGATCAATTCGTCTCTTGGGTGAAGTCGACGGTTTCTGACAAGGAGCTCTCCGAGGAGGTGGCGGAAGGAGTCCTACCTCCATGCGAGCTCATCGATTGGCAGGCCGCTGCCAGTGAAGAGTTCCCTACTCCAAACACCTGTGATCTCGTTGTTTTCTTGCCTTTCTTTTATTTCGGGTTGGGATTACCGACTAGCGAATTCTTCTGAGGACTCCTCCACTTCTATGGCATCAACATCCACCACCTTAATCTCAACTCCATCCCTCAAATCATCATCTCCGTTCATCTTTGCAAGGTGTATTGTGGGATCATACCCCACTTCGCCTTGTTCCTCTATCTGTATCAGTTGAAGGCCCAGCCCGGGAAGAAGAACCCCACTGTGAACGGGGTAGTGGGATCCAGATCTGGCCGGATAGGAAAAAGGAATTCTTCGAGCTCCCCCTGCAGACTACCAACAAGGGATGGCGATCCAAATGGTTCCACTGCTCCAATCTGATCCCTAGCTTGCCTCCCTTCACCGGCCAGTCCCCCGTGGTGAAAGATTGTTGGTTCTCCTTGCCAAACCGCGATGAGATGGATCAGGTGAGTGATTCCGGGTTGACCAGGGTTGCCGTCTCATGCAATTTCATAATGAGGAAACTGCAACCTCTCAAAAGCCGAAGTCACCTGCCCTGGAAATACCAGGGAGTGAACGACCCTACCCGAGAGACCCCTAGGCCATTTAATAAGGACATGGCCACTCGGAGGTTGTCCAATTTCTTGAGTCCGGGATGGCAATCACCACCGAGAATTGCCTCAAGCCGCTAAGCATCAAGTCTGCTCGTCATGAGGTATCATCTTGAATTCGTCCTGAGCTGATTTGGGTCTTGGCCTTGTAATTGTGTCCTGGGCTAAGCCCAAAGAATGAACCTAATCATATTTATTCAGTAGTTGTTATTATTTAGTGTCGGGTTTTGCTTAGATTAATTTTACCATTACAATTTCGCCATTTATTGGTTTTTGGAACCCCAACTTCGAGTTCTCGATTAATCATTCTGTAGTTGAGTTGTTGTCTTTCTTGTTCTTATTTTTATTTTTCGATTCACATGTATGGATTAGCCTTCTTAGCAAGGTCAATTGAGTTTCAGCACGAATGATAACCAGAGGAGATGTGATGTTGTGATTGCAGATTTAGATTGTGTTGATTGAAGTATCAAGTTTTCGCCAAATCAATAGTTTTCTTCACCTGACGGAAGATTGGGCACCCAGTTGCCATCAAAGATATCTGGCATCAACATCTCAGGATGGAAAGGTCTCTGCCAAGAAGATAGTTAAATCTGAAGAAGGCGATGCCAAGACCAAGAAAATTCCTTTGATCCAACTGATCACTCCAAGATGACCCGCAAATAGAGTTCGGGAGCAATGAGTTTGGGCTATGAGCAGTCAGAGCAGGAGAAGCGATTGGAGTGAGGCCTGAGAAGTGATCGGAGAGAGGATCCTGTGACACCAGGCGTGCGATCGGACTGACAGATGATGAAATCAAGATCCCTTGTAATTTTAGTAGACATTTTGCAGGTTATCTATCAAACTAATAAGGAAAAAGTACGAATTACCCACCCCCGAACTATCACAGCCGTTTGAATTACCCCCCTAAACCACAAAGCCGGACATTCTTCACCTGCAACTATGCAAACCGGACGAATTACCCCCCTTGGCTAAATCCACGGTGGTTTTAGTCTACGTGGCGTACGCGTGGCAGTCCAGTCAACATTCTATTAATAAAAAAATGTGGGACCCACATGTCATACTCTTCCTCTCTCTCTCACGGGTGGGTCGGCGGCGGCGGGCAACCACGGGCGGTGGGCGAGGAGCTGAGGCTGGCGTGGGCGGGGGCGGAGGCGACAGCGGGCGGCGGGTGGGCGCAAGGATGGCGACGGGCGGGGGCGGAGGAGGCGGCGGGCGGCGGTCGAGGAGCTGAGGCCGGCGATGGGCGGGGGCGGAGAAGGCAGCGGGCGGCGGGTGGGCGCGAGGCTAGCGACGGGCAAGGGCGGAGGCGGCAGCGGGCGGCGGGCGGGCGGCGGTCGAGGAGCCGAGGTTTCTCGAGCCCCGGTGAGCGGAGAGGAGCCAAGGCTGGCGGTGGCTGCATGCCGCGGGCGCGGAGGCGGCTGCGGGCGGCCCCCGCGCGCCAACGACGACGAGGAGGAGCCCACCGCCCACCGCACGTCCCCGCTCGCCCGGTCGGCCTCCGCCTTCGTCGTCGGCCGCCGTCGTCCTTGGGCCCCCTCCACCACCCACAACTGGCTCTGCCCCCGCGCGCCGCCGTCCTCACCTCACCGCCCCCACGCTCCTCCGCCGCCTCCGCCTCCTCCTCCGCACCAACGTCCTGAGCGCCGACATCCACGCCGTCCGCGCCACCCTCTGCGCTGTCCTCGCCGACCGCCCACGCCGACCACTCATCCCCGCGCCGTCCTCGCTGACCGCCCGCGCCCACCGCCTGTCCTCGTTGTGTGCGCTGCGCGAGAGAGATAATAGAGAGGGGAAGAAAGTATGACATGTGGGTCCCACGTTTTTTATTAAATAAAATGCTGACTGGACTGCCACGCGTACGCCACGTAGACTAAAACCACCATGAATTGGGCCGAGGGGGGTAATTCGTTCGGTTTGCATAGTTGAGGGTGAAGAATGTCCGATTTTGTGGTTTAGGGGGTAATTCGGACGACCGCGATAGTTCGGGGGGTAATTCGTAATTTTTCCAACTAATAATAATAATACAAATACATTTTTTTAAGAGATGCATTTGATTTGATAGTGCAGTAGCGAGGTGTGCGTGGTTTCAGCCCTGAGATCCCGTGTTCAATCCCAACACACTCACAATTCCTTCATAAAAAAATATTTTCTCGTGCCAAATCTCTTTTTTTTTTCAAAGTTTTTTTTTTTGCTTCGTTTACTCTTCTACGGCCCAGCCAGTCAGAGCCCAATAATTGCAAGACATCACAAGGCTTTGAAAATTTTTACCATGTTTTCGCAATGATTGAATGAATTTTATGAGATGTCTGTATGTTCGATGCATGATGTTGTGTGGTTGAAGCGAAATTTATTTGGATCCTACTAGTAGATGGAAAGTGAAAGTGTGTGCGTTGAAACCGGAATTTATCGTTTGCGGGGAAAATTTAGCATTTGCTTAAACTTTACGTGGAATATCAATTGGAGTAGTAATATACTCCGACGACACTACACTAATGCGTACTCCCTCCGTTAAAAAAAAAAGACAAACCCTGGTTTCCATGTCCAACGTTTGACCATCCGTCTTATTTAAAAAAAATTAGAAAAACAAGTCACGCATAAAGTATTAATCATGTTTTATCATCTAACAATAATAAAAATACTAATTATAACAAAATTTCATATAAGACGAACAGTCAAACGTTGACACGGAAACATAGGGTTTGCCTTTTTTTTTTTTTGGACGGAGGGAGTAATTAAGGAGCTAGCTAGCCGTCCAAGTGAGAGTGACTGACACAGACACAGGATGAGAGCGGCTGTTGGTCTTCTTCCCCTTCAACCCACTACCACTAGCAGGCAGCAGCGTCCTTTCCGCTTCCTCCTTTCTTCTCTTATATATAGCACCACACCTCCATTCCTTGGCTCTTCCGCCGGGGCAGTGCAGTGGAGCTCCCAGGCTAGATCATGTCGTTCTGGGGTACTCCTACTAGCCTACTACTACTCTGCTTCCATTTTCATATACTACTCCTACATTACTTCATAATCTATCTATCTATCTATCCCTACATTGGTTGATTGATTCTTTGTTTGCTACTCCGATCCTACATTGGATTGGATTGGATTGGATGTTGCAGGCGCGGTGGTGAGTGCGGGGAAACCCTACGTCGTTCGGCCCTCCGACGCCGGCGGCCGTCGCCTTCGGGTTACCCAGGTCCCTCCCTCCCGCAGCTTAATCCTTTCTTCTCTTGCCTTAATTACATGCATTAATCTAGCTCTCTTCTTTCCCAGTTTTCCATGTCTTCTTTCTTGCTCTTTATACCAATCTACTACTCCACTACTATTTTTTTTCCTTTGGTTTTCTTTAATGTCTGTTTTGCTCGCAAACATCATGATTTCTACAGGAAAAGAACATGGCCTTTAATTATTCCAAGTGTACATATTTTCTTGACAAACTTTTACTACTTCATACATCTCACATGCATTATGCATGAGTTATTCAGAAATTTTAACTGCATGTTCTCGCAAGTCGCAAACTGATCACTATCTGAAGAGTTGCAGAATTTCTTGTTTGCAAATATGGGTTTAGTAGTTCTATAGCAGTTTTTATTGTACTCTTCATACATTACACTAGCATATATACGTCTAATATATGGAGGAGACCCTAAACATTAATGGTACTTGAAGTTGTAATTAACCCACAATTTGGTCCCGCAAACTTGGTTACCATTTTGCTCTGCCTCCAGTATATTTTTTCTTTACCCAGAACAGACATCGTAACCATCCTTCAGTTTTTTTTTTAACCATTCACCTATCCAACTTTCAATATTATTAGCTATGTATTTTTCTTTAATTCCTGTCCTTGTGCAATCATATGCACCGCTGTATTGATTTTGCAGTTCCCTGCCGCTCAATTAAATACACAATTTTGTTCAATTATATATATGGATTTCCAAGTTTGTAACTTGAAAAAGTAAGAGTGACATGTCTATTCTATAACATAGACGAATGATCTAAACATTCTCACCCAGATTTAATAGGACCAACACCAGAGTTTACCTTGGTTAATTAAGTATGTTTTATATTTCCCTATCCTTTTACAAAGCTTCAAAATTCATTTCAGACTATGACTCGGTTAATTTCATTTTATTGTACCAATTTGCACTTCCACAGTAGTTTAGAACTGGTGCATAGACTAATTGATCCAAATAGTGGTTCATAACAATGTGCAAATGCAATGTAATTATACCTATCTCAATTTTAGTTAGTCCATTTTGTTTTAGAACTAGAAGTCATTAAACTGGAAACTTTTAAACAACAAAAAATGCTTCAGGCTTATTCTGATAGTTTTAGTTTTTTGGTAACCTTGTGGATAAAATCTTAATATAAGCTGTGCAATTTTCATAAAATGCAAATTCTATGATTTGAAACACTAAAACGGCTTGTCATCCAGCACTCTCTCGTTTATAATTCAACTTCATAGTACGATTGTTTAATTAGCTTGCTGGTGGCAAAAAGCCAAATTGCTTGCATTCATCTAAAACTTTTCATAAATTAATGATTGTTCATGTTTTGCTATTGATTATTGTGGACTCAGTCAAGAATTATGCGACCTTAGCACTATCACATGTACTATTTGTATAGATAAAGTAATCTGTGTTTCTGTTTCTGCACTAAATTAACCCCATCAAAACAAGTTTTTCACAACTAAATTAATATTCAGACCTGATGGTTTATTATTTCAGGCTACGCTAGGAAATTTTGACCATTCTGGTTGGGTCCTTGTTGAATGCAAGGTTGGTGACCAGGGGCTCGTGAAGGTTGCTGCCCTAAATCCTGAAACTGCTCCAGTTGCCCCCCTAGAGCTGGAATTTGAGGAGAACAAGAATGTGGTTTTATCAGTCCGTGGTCAGAACTCAGTACACTTATCAGGATACTACATCTGTTCTTACAATGGTGACTATGGTGAAAACAGCAAACAAGCCACTAAAGAAACGTAATGTATCTTCTGAATTCAATCTTCGGTGTTTACATTTTTTTGTGAAATTTTGTAGCTCTTTGCTTAAGTATGCAAGCGGATTGCCCTGCAAACCTGTGCTTATAGGCCAATTTCGCAGGCCAGTGTTGGCTTGTGAAAATTGCCTAATAAGCAGGTTAGCGGTCCAGCCCACTTGTATCCCTATCTTTTCTTTGTAAGGAGTCCTTTTTTTTTTTGGTATTAATAGAAGGTAGTGTAAGATGGTAGCTGGTGAAAATATTGCTATAGATCAAGTGAATGAGAAAATGAATTTTAAAATCATCTAAGTATGTATTCCAAAAATCTGGAAAAATTGAATGATTCACATTTCCCTATTTTTTGTTATGGTACTCTTTTATCTATAATGCGGTGTTTTCCTTGTTCAATAGGAAGTCCAATATATGCAATAGATGGAAATGCATATCTTGACCTAGAGCATACTCTAGGAGGCAATGTGGTTCAAGCTGCTAGTCAGGAGGAAAATGCTTCACAAACTCATGAGGATTTTTTTTTAGATAATGGAAGCTTTATTAATCTCAGTAAATTTCATCAAGTGATACAACTATTCTTAGAGCACCTCCGGCTTCTGCACCTAAAGAGTGCACACAGCCAACAAGAACGAAACAAAAGATAAACTCATTATCCAAAATAGCAGGAACAAAAATAACTTCAGGAGCCCTCTAACCATAGCCTAGAACACCACCCATGTGCCGGGGTAGAAAACTCATGAGGATAATGATGCTACACGTCATATTATCCAACAAACTAAACCTCCTATCCTGTAAATAAAATCTGTCACCTCCCTTGTCATCATATATTTTTTCGTGATCCGTAACTATATATGTGTTGCTACAATGTAGTTGATTTATATCTTTGTAGGGTCTCGAAAGATGATGGTGCTGCTGAAAACAATGATGAAAAACAAGGGGATGAAGCTAAACAGTCTAAAAATGTACAGGCCGAACTGCAGCCTCACATTCGCGTACTTGATAGTGACCATGGTGAAAACAGCAAGCAAGCCACTAAAGAAATGTAATGTATCTTCTGAATTCAATCTTCCAGTTCCTTGGTCAGTGTACAATATAAAATGAATCAGTCTTTACATTTTATGTGAAATGTTATAACTCTTTGCTTAAGTATGCAAGTGGAATATACCCTTCAAAAACCTGCGCTTATAGACCATTTTTGCGGGCCAGTGTTGGCTCGTGAAAATTGCCTATAATAAGGAATCATTTTTCTATGTACGGAATTATTATTTTAATATTGATAGAAGGTAGTGTAAGATGGTAGCTGGTCAAAATGTTGCTATAGATCAAGTGAATGAGAAAATGAATTCTAAAATCATCTAAGTATATATTCCAAAAATCTGGAAAAATTGAATGACTCACATTTCCCTATATTTTTGGATTGTTACTCTTTATCTATAATGCGGTGTTTTCCTTGTTCAATAGGGAATCCAATGCAATGGATGAAGATGCATCTCTTGGCCTAGAGCATACTCTGGGAGGCAATGTGGTTCAAGCTGCTAGTCAGGAGGAAAATGCTTCACAAACTCATGAGGATAATGATGCTGCAGATCATATTATCCAACAAACTGACCCTCCTATCCTGTAAATGAAATCTGCCACCTCTCTTGTCAGCATATTTTCATGATTCGTAACTATATATGTGTTGTCACAATATATTTGATTTATATCTTTGTAGGGTCTCAGAAGATGATGGTACTGCCGAAGACAATGATGAGGCCGAACTGCAGCCTCGCATTCGTGTACTTGATAGTGGTATGACAATAGAAGATCTGGCCAAGGGAAATGTTGGTGCCAAAATTGCATCTTGTGGCAAAAAGGTCATTCCAAACCTTCTTCTGCATCTTACTAGACTCTGTCTAGGATAGACAAATATGCAGACTGTATTAATTAGCACTTCACTAGTTCTGCAAGTATCTCTTTCTTTATATGTTATGAAGATTTATCAGGCGAAAAAAAATCGTTTTAACCAATCCAACAATACTTATTCAGGTTTATGTGAAGTATGTCTGTATGTTGAGCAATGGTGATACTGTTGATCCTACCGGTGAAAGTTCCACTTGCAAATTCAAACTTGGTAAAAGATTAACGAATGCCCTCTTCTCTGTTTCATTATTGATTTCTTTGATACTCACACAAGAAACTTCCTTGTTGGTTGCAGGTGCTGGAGAAGTCATTAGTGGATGGGATCTTGGTATCGATGGTTATAATCTTAACACAAAAGCTAATATTTTATATATGGGAATACAGCAGTCTGAAATTTCACCCTTTTTTAATGATTATTGTTGGAATTAAGTTCTATCCCACATTTTGTAGGCATGCGTGTAGGTGGAATAAGGAGACTTGGCATTCCTCCCCATCTAGGGTAAGCATGTGAATTTCTTCCCTTCTCATTGTTATTATTAATTGATAATCTATCAATAGTTCTACTGATTATGAACAAATTGACTAAACTTTTCATATTACTGTGCATCATGGTGCCATGTCTATATATATAGCATAATAGCACTATCTTTAGAGGTTGTATCAGACGGTGGTGTGTGTTTTGGTAAGCATTAAGTCTTTACCTGTTGTTATTTCTAAGAAGCCATTGATTTTACCAATTGATTCACTAGAGTGCAATTCACTAGAGTCAATGCACTTCTTTTAATTCACTAGTCTTCTGTAGAACTTTTTTTAGAATTATTTATTGTTTAGTACTCTTATCAGAAATGGTGATACCTGAATCACAAATTCACAATGGTTATTTTGATTTACAATACCTGCCTATCAGTGTCGAGAAGTGGCTGTTGTAGGGCTTAATAGGAATGTAACCTATCAAAAGCTACTGTATAAGTGGCCCCATAATTCTTTTATAATTACTACTTTCTGGGTGACCAAATGAATAGTTGTATATTTTTTCTTGAATGTGCGATAGAGCTGTATATATTCGATTTCATGAACATGCAACTCATTATCTTTTCTCTCGAATATGTGTGCAGTTTTCTATTAATTTGCTTTTACAATTTCTGGTTGAAATGAAATTAAGATGATACCTCGTTTAATTAATTTCTTGGGTGCACTTGTTTTCAGCTATGGTGATGTTGGAAGAGGAAACATACCACCAAACGCGTGGCTCAACTTTGATATCGAACTGCTGAAAGTCAAGAGTGGACGCAAGAAGGCACGGAAAGTAAAGAAGTCTAGGAGAGCGGCAGCAGAAACTTCTTCCACTGCACGCTAGATGAAGTGAAGGCACCAGATGCAACATTTTGTTTTGGCTTAATTCCAGCAAGATTCTGCAAAATGCCTCTTAATTAGTACTCCTAATATCTATAACACTCTTACCAGGCAGCCTGCTACTCTATGGATGGCAAACTTAATTAGTACTAGCAACCATCCTTCATCTTTTGTTCTGTTTTGGTGGAGAACAATGGCATCATGCTAACTATGGTTAACTGGTTATGGCCTGTTAGAAGTATGTAGTGGTTTCTCTCTAGTTTGGTGCCCAAAAAAAAAGTTGGTAGCTTTTGTTATGTACGGTTGGGCATGTGTTAAGTTTAATGCTAAAATTATGTTTAGTGAGATCAGTATCATATGCACACAACTTGTGTACCTGTTATGGCCTTCCTACTACCATTTTTTTTGGCAGGGCAATATTTTGATGAACGTTTGGCTTGTTTTAATACTTAGGTAGTATTAAGTAGCCCTCACTACTGTGCTTTACTTGTTCCCCCAACCTTTTGTCAAAGCTGAGTTCCTGTAAACTTTTGTGTTGTTTCCATGGATTCAGGTCGATTTCATGTATGTTGCCTTGGATAGAGCCTACATTCAGCTATGAGCTGCACTGAAACTGTTACTAGCAATTAGTACTACTACCTTAAAAAAAACTGTTACTAGCATATGAGATTAGGGTTATATATTATAAAGACTATTAAAAGTGTTTTTCATGACAAATCTACTAATAACATCGTTTTCATTACAAGCTATTATAAAAAGATTGTATATTCAACTGAACTCGTTTCAAAAAAAATATGCAACTGAACCATTATAGCACGTACAAGTGTGCCAGTAAGTCCAAACATAAATTAGGATAAATAGCATAAGGGTGCGTTCGAACCTTAGTTCTGGTTTAAAATTTCCATGGCACGCAAAACGAGATAAGCCATTAGCTATTAATTGTTATAAATTTGAAAATATGTTTCTTTTATTTTTTTAAAGAAGCTTCTATATAAAAAGTTTTTGAAAAAAAAAAACACTGTTGAAGCTTGCTAACAGAAAACAAGGAACAAATATAATTTCATTCAATTTTATCCACTGATGGGAAACTACCATTTTCCAGTATTCACAGTGAATAATTGAAGAAACAAAAACTTGAAAACTGAATGTTTCTGATACATTCAGTTTACCAAGAAACTATATATATGGATCAGTTAAGCGTGATACCACGGACGCAGGCAACATGCAAAAACCATTGGATTAATATACAAATGGCCTGGAACATAAAGCCAAGGTAAATCAAAAGGTTACCCTTACGGGTGAAGTTCTTTCTATAGCTTGAACTACAAAGATCAGTTCCCTTCTGGTTATATATGAAGCATCAAGTTGCTGAATTCAGCTTGGTACGGCAAATTTCATAACACGGCCCGAAGCCTGCAATGAAGAAAAACAAAGATGACATGCCCGCACTTTTTTGTTTTTGGGCATGTACAGATGATACCAAGAATCATGCAATTTATTTTGCTACCAGACATTGGAAGAAATGACGGTACTTAGCATCGTCTTGTGTCATTTAGTGGGTCTAATTTAGTGCACAAACTTGTCAAGTGGGTGTAATTTAGTGTAAAACATCAATTGTGAGCATTACTGCAAAAAAGAAGCAAATAGATTAAAAAAAACTTCCTTTGCAGTGATATAATGCAGATTAATTTATGGCAGGGCAGCATATCATTCAAAATGGCCGTCTTTTCCTTGCATGATTCTTAGAGAGCAAAGAAATGCCAATAGATTTGTATTTGTGCAAAAAGAAGTAGGATTGGAGTATGAATAAGGCCAGACAGTCCTAACTCATTAGAAAGAGATGGAAGGTTAGCATCTCCCCACCTGATATTCTAACCCATATTCCACCCCTTTATCCCTAAATTCGAACACCCAAGAAAGGGAATTTGAGCCTCAGGCGTCTGCTTACAAAATAAATAAAAGAAAAACAACGAAAAGAAAACTAAGAAAGAACAACATCCATCTCATATAAAGTGTCAACTGAAAACAATTTATTTTTGAAGTGCGTATTTCTAAAACAAATTATGATGGATATTGCATATTAATTTTGAGCTCAGCGGCATAGCATTTACATGATCACTTTTTTCTTACATGTCACAACTGTCTACTGTGGCCAGAGGCAAATGGATTCTCAGACGCCAGCACAATTCAGATGCTATGGGATTTGAATGCGATGGCCACACACACAGCGAGCGGCAAATGCAGATGTTGAGACTTGAGAGTCAAGAGATAAGTTATCTTCCAGTTATCAAGTATCTTTTTTTAATAGTTACCAAGTTATTTTTAGAGATTTTTAGGGCCACCCACATTAGAAGCAATCGATCCATGTAATTTCTTTAAGCAATGAATTAACATAATCTTTAGTCTCAGTCTCCTCTCTGCAGTACTCAGAACGTTTATGCAGGATTGCCAGGTACTAGACCATTCCATTTCATCATAAGACAGATCTAACATAGAAATACTCATTAAATGTGCAGCTTCATTGGCTAGGTACACTGGTGGTATACCCATATTTCCTACAAACAAATAAGAGTCTAAAGGAGTTTGTGGCTTTTGCAAATTTTCCATGAGGATCCTACAGAGTTTGTCTTGAGTTAGAGGGGACTTGGGATGACTGATGACTGATGGCCATCACTACCAGCTCAAATTTTTATATAGGAGAAAAATGTATCTGGCATCTACCTACCACTATTGTTTTCACAGCCCAATTCAAAAGCACAAAAAGTGAGAAAAAAAAAGATGATACAAAAATATATAAATGCAGCATAGCATGAAAACAACACGCAACATGTAGGATTAGGATATAGAGGTATGCACTGGCACCATATAATTGTTTACTCCCTCCATCCAAAAGTCTAAGGCATACTCCCTCCATCCACAAGAATTAGACCTATTTCATATTTGAGTTTTTCCAAATAAGTTGTTTCTATTTGTAGTCTCTATGCATCCAAGACTTAAATGGAGAGGTAAACTAAATGTTTGATCGGAACCCGAGGAGTCATCTTAATACTTATTGGTTGCACGTGTGCGTACACAGCTTGATCTTTGTTACATGCAAGATGAGTTAATTTCTCCTTGGTCTTGGTGACAAAAGTAATAGGTGTAAATTTTGTGGAACAAGGGGGTATTTCTTTTGTCAACAAGACCAAGGAGAAATTAACTCATCCCACATATAACAAACACCAAGGAACTATATGCATGCATGCAACCAATGATTATTAAGATGATTGCTCGGGTTCCGGTCAACAATTTAATTTAGCACCGTAAAACGAAAAGATAACCCCTTCATTTAAGTCTTAGATGCATGAAGACTACAAATATGCCATCTTATTTGGAAAAACTAGAAATGAAATATGCCTTAGACTTATGGATGGAGGGAGTATACTACTTTTGTTCTCCTCATGCCAATATCTTCACCACTTATTTTCAACAAAATGATAGCTAACACATTATTAATGCAATTTCTAGAAAGACAATAAGCAATGCTGCTATGATTATGACATTTAAACTTATAATCTAATTGTTTAAGCAAATACCAGTAGTGTGTGCTTCAGCACAGTTGCTGCGCAGATTTTGCTACCACGCTCACGAGATATCACCAAGCGGACATGTGGAACAGTTTTCCAGCTCTCACCAAGAGCAGGCTTGGGAGCTCCATTCCCAGCAACCATATGGTTAGTAACCTGGAGTCAATGCAAGGGGGCAAACCGATAAATGAAAATGATGACCATATTTTTGTTTCAGCATACATTTTAAGCACAACAGGCATAGTGCCCAAGTTAGCAAGCCTTATGGTGACTTCTCTAATTTAGCAAGCCTTCTGAAACTTGGTAGTCAGTCTTCAAGGTAACTAACTAAAGAAAAGTTGCTCCAAGTAATAGAGGCTTTGGTGCCTTTTTCCAAACCAGGAAAACTAAACTAGAGAAAGTAGAGGGAATATGTGCTCAAGATAGAGAAGTTAAAATTTCCACAGAATAACAGAGATGGACATGAGCAAACCCACTAAAACTAACAGTACATGATCAATTTACTTTAATAGCTTATCTTAGAAGTAAAGCAGGAAATGAAGCATTTCCAGATACATGTCCCAATCTGTTCATGAGAAAGATGGCATGCTGAATAAGTGAATTTGTACAGCAATTAATTAGAGCAAATTGCACTAGGGGTTACTACATTAGTTTAAGTGGCATATTTAGGTGACCAAACTGAAAATCTGCACAACGGTATAATGTGCATTAAGTGATTCACACAAGATCCTTAACCTGCCCATCATAACCTTAAGTGATAACGTGGACTGACAACTAGCTCCAACATGTAAAAAATGTCAGTGAGGGCACGTGACCACAGCAGTTCTTCTTTAGTACTCAAACGCCTGACCTCTAGAGATTCTATCTTGAAATGTATCCCCACCTGTTCCTATCTGCCTATTTCATGTGAAGCAACCTGGAGGTTAAGGGTCACCTCTCTGTATGTAAGGAAGTGCAAGCAATATAAAATTGTGGAGACCAAAGCAACTCTGGCCAGCATACATCCTACCAGGAGTAGGCACAATCAGGAGTTCAGGACATTGCATGACCTTAACCATGAGGGTGCGGGGGCCACAGTTATGTAATTCACAGGATGGGGATTGAGTGGGGTTAAACGAGAAAGGATGATGAGAATCTAAATTCAATCGAAAGGGGTGAACGCTGTAGTAATGTGATCTTAGCCACACCATTGTCAAAGGTGTTATTGCACAACCGATGTGTTAAAAGAAGTATAATGCATACAATAGCTTGATGAGTCAGAATAATATTTTAGAAAGCCTTGTGCAGATATGCTCAACCCAAAGCGTGCAGTGCAAATGCCAAAAATTATTAGCACACAAATTAGACTAAAGTAGAATTACCAGAACAGATAGATTATGCTCATATGCTAGCTTCTTTAGAATCATAGCCACTGATATCATCATCGATCGCCCTGTTAGGTTAATAAGACATGCAGAGACAAAAGGAAACAACAAATTTACTTCATAATAAACTTTAAAAATTAATAAGGACCCTCTCAGGAAGTAATTGTGTGAGAAAATAAATGATTTTTGGAACTTCAACAATTAACAGAAGCACATTGAATTTATGACCAGATCAAAGTATCAATATCTCGCTGTATAATTGCAGGTTAAGTGCTCACTGAACTAATTTTCTGCTATTTCTAACTTGCTAATCGGATCTAGTATATCTCAGCCACTTATGACGTCCCTGCTTATCGAGACTGATTTACTTGTTCAATAGCAAGGTGCAACTTATGCTATGAATAATAAAAGTAGGGCACAAAGACTATGCAAGTACCTCGTGGATACTTCCCACCGTTGATGGGAGCAAGTATAGACGATATTGAGTCAATGATAAGCAAGCATATCTTGTTACCCCCATTGTTTACCTAAAAAGCACGTGGCACATCAGAGTTTTTCAAGGCACAAATTGAACAATCACTTCACACTCACCTTGCTCTTCAGTGACAATTCAAGTTGATGTAGCACTTCAAACAAATCGAATATATCAAAGACTGACTTACAAATGATGCTGCTCATGACCCTCTCGAGTCGCACATTCTTTGGCTGCAAGTCAAATGTGGTAATTAGAAAAAAGCAAGTAGTATAGCAAGTTGTTAAACAAGTGTTACTAGTTAGAGTAATCTAATAGCAGAAACATGTCTTCAACTATATTTAGTGACACCACAGCAAAGGAAGCAATTCAGGTAAGTCCAAGTAACAGGGTAGGAGCAGTATTCAAATATGTGTACAAGTATGATTACCTACCTCTCTGACCAAAGAGATGGGGAATCCATCAACTATTCGAGCAATGCGGCTAGGGGAAAAGGAATTGCTAGTATCCAAGTACATAACAACACCCAACTGCCTGGCTGCCACATGTGAAGCAGAACAAAGACAGACCTGCAGTTACATAGACAGAATAAACAACAGTGCCGCTTGTGAATTGTGATGTATACCTTAAAATCCTACTGTTTTTGGCAAGCCAATCTTGTCCGGAGGAGTAAGCATATAAAATGTATATCTATCTATTGCGTCTAATAAGTTAAGAAAGATAGAAGTGGTTAACATTTTCACCTGTGTTTTACCGGAGGACGATTGGCCGGTTATTTCAGTGAGCTGACCTTGGCGCAGGCCGCCTCCAAGAAGCGCGTCGACGCTGGAAAATTGAGGACATGATGAAGTCAAAATCTGCAATTTGGTAGTGAAATTACCCAAAAACTAAAAAAACTAAAGCAAGGCAGTTAGGGGAATCCTATGATCCAAACAAGTTGGGGGAGGGCCAATAGCAATAGATAGAGAGGGAAAGGAAATGATTGGTACATTGAAGATAGGAGTACCCTTGAAGGCCCGTGGGGAGGAAGCGCTTGTTCTCCGTCGCATCCTTGAGCAAGTCCATTCCATCCAGAAAGCATTGCCCCTCCTCATCTTGCTTCTTCTCCTGTACCCCAAGCACAAATCCATGCCACATACACACAGAAAATACGATTGATCAGTAGTATGAAGCCGTGAAACCAACTGCGGGTGAATCGCATGCGCATTATCTCGTCAAGAGCAAACGGTTTTTGTGCAGCATTCCGTTCCCGATTAAGCTGAGATTTCGAAGCAGGAATAAAAAAGCTGGGGATGAACTGAAATGGCCGTCAAGCAGCCGAGGACGGAGGACTAACCTCGCCGCCGGAGGGAGGAGGCCTGGGGAAGCAGCCGGCGCCGCCGCTCGCCGACGTCGCCGCCATCGCCATTACAGCCAGAAGGGGAAGCGGCGTTGCGTGGCTGCTGCTTCTTCTTCTTCTAGCCTACTATAAGGAAGGAGGCCCACTTTTCGGCCCAAATCGAACTCCCTTCCACTGACAAGTGGGGCCCACTGGAATCCCTTCCCCCCCCCCCCTAATCGAATCGATCGACACACGAAACACAAGTTCGAGGAGAGAAAACCAAACCCTAGCTAGGCTAAGGCGGAGTGGAGAACCCCCGCCGTTGCCGGCGGCGGAGGCAGCGGCGGCGGCGCGCGGAGAACACTCCGTCGCGGTAAGGCCATCATCCTACTTCCCCCGTCCTTCCTCCTTCGTTTGCTTCCCTCCTGCCTTGCTTAGTAATTATAATTGAAATTGCTTCAAACTAGCAAGCCCAGTTCTTATTAGATGCAGGAAAAAGAATTACAAGCTAGTAGCAAGTAGCAACCCCTGCAATTTCATTGCCGCTTATGTGCTTACAAAGGAATTACAAGCTCTTTCTTAGGTACCTATGCTGCATTCATGCCTGTCATACCTTAGAATATATGCTCTAGCTCATTGGATTTACTGCCTCGATATTTTTTAATTATGTTTGTGCGAATACTTATGTTACACTTTCGTTTTTTGATTAGTCGTTGCTGAATGGCTGATTATTCTTGCTATTTCCATATGCAACGTGTCATTTATTACTTATGCAGACCAAATGGCTCCATTTATTGTAGGTAACATTCCAACACATAACTCACCGTCTGTCATTTCATCTTATATAACCTGGTTCACAGGTCGATTCCGTATCAACAATGTCAGATCCTGGAAGGGATAGCAACATGCAGCAGCTCATCCCGATAGCACCTCCACCAAAGGCTTCTTCTGGTACCACTGGCAAGGAGCTCGTGGTCGTGGATGGTACGGGAAAGGCTTCAGGAGGAGTCAAGCTACGGGAAGACGAGGAGGACCTGGAGGTGAAGCTCAGGCGCATCATGGAGAACGTCCCTGTCCGTGTCAGCAACACCTCCGGATCCTCTGCTGGTTCTGGCTCTGGTGATTTCCACCAGGTAATGTCTCCCTCCCCCAGCCATCCTCCGTATGTGCTTGTGTGCATGTTTCTGTTGAAATGTAGCCTGATTGTAGTGAAAACAAATTCTTCACTGATTGTTACCACGAGGAAACCTTCCATTAACTCAGTACTGCATATGATGGGCTTTTTCTAGGTCGATTAGCACATGACTAGATGGACATGCTATTGTTTTTGTTTTTTTCTATGGAAATTAATTTGGAGTTTGAATAAATCAACTAAATTGTTTATCGGTATTGTGCTCCAATGGTCTTTACATAGAAATGACCGTGGAGGTTGAGTCAAAGTTTTACACAGAACTTGTGAATTTTTGTGAGCATGATAAACCTCTACCTGTTGTCTCATATAAAGAACAATGACAGCAGTTGGAGAAATTCTATGTATGTTGTTGGGATGTAGGAAAATACACACCTACTTGATAAAACAATGCCCAAACTACTAGATGATTTATGTGTAGCCACACTTATTAATGGGGGCTTACAATTTTCATGAGCTTGTGGGGTCAAGGTATGCTGAAAGCCCGCAACTCAGTTTCTTTATCATGACATCTAAGGGCTGAACAGAACAATTGTCCTACTTGTGAGTTTTCTTGCTATATATATACATGGCAAGGTGACAAGATGAGTGGAAGTTTAGGTGACTTATTTCCTAGTTGTGATCCATCTGAAAAAAGTCATTTTTTGACCAAGGCTTCACTGGAGACTATGCTTTGCATTATGCTACCATTGTTTAGCTTATCTGATAAAACCTATTCTAAATTTCAAACAAGACTTTCTGCTGAACATATTTGCAGATGTTCATAGCATTTTTCTGTTATTTAGTTATTTAATAACTGGGACAGATCTACACAAATAATTTCATTTCACATATTGTAGGTTAGAAACTTTTTTTTTAACTTTTGTGTTGTATGGAGGGTTCCCAACACACTTAACCAATGAGCTAATTAACTTAGTTTTGAGTCTACCCATCATCATTTGAGAATTTTATTAATGTGTGCCAGTGGATGGGATTTTTGGGGTATGTACTTATGCTTAAACATTGAGGTCATGCTTATCAGCTACTGAGCAGTAGCTGCATATGCTTCACCTGGCATTTAAAATAGTAACACCAATGTCATTTCTGATGTATCAGTGTCTTGTAAACAAAATGACCATATCTGGATCACAACATTTTTTTCAATATTGGTTTCATAAGAATGGGTCTATTATATTAGGGATAGGTCATAGGTGCCCATAGGTCTGGGTAAGTTAGGCCGGATAATCCCTATTTGATTGGTGATAATACGGACACGATTACTTGTTAGGGTCGATAATACCTACTTGATTGGTGATAATACAGACACATGTTATCAATTTAGAACCTTTCTACTTATTTAGCAAGTGTTCGTTTTAACATGTGTATGCTGCTGCACTCTTGCTAAGCTCAAGTCAATGGAGAAACATGCATTTCTAGTTATGCTCTTGCTATTGGTACTTAATAAAATCACATCGTTTAACAGAAAGTGTTCTTCTGATAGTATCGGCAAATGAGGAGGAGAGAACAGGACCGTCTTGCAAGGATGGATGCTGATTACCAGAAGAGGAAACAGATGGCTGAGTTTGAATTGAGGAGGGAGGAAAGGCTAAAAGAAGCAGAGGAGCGGACAGCAAAGAAGCGCCTGAAACGCCAAAAGAAGAAGCAGCGGAAGAAAGAGAAGAAACGATCTAAAACTAATAATGGTGGCGAGCAACCTAACGGAGGGGAGTCGTCTGGTGGTGATGAGGATTCAGACGATGAAGATAAGCCATAGGCAAGTGGCACACATCAATCGGATTTGAAGTTGCTATTAGACTACTGTTGAACCATTTCTTGGAGATTACTTCTGAAGTAGAGCTTTGAGCATGAACTAATATTGGCAGGCTGCAGGCCCCCTTGTAGTTTTTTCTTGGAAACACTCTTAAGATGAGATGTGGCTTGTTTTCCTTGCTCTGATAAAGTGACTATGGAGTATGGATGGATAGATGAATCATTTTCTGGTTACCTTGTTTGTTTCTTCTGAATTATCATGTCTGGGGCTCCCTGTCCCTTACAATAGCTTACTCGTGACATTTAAATGAATGAAATTTAACTGTTTAGCAATTTGAGAGCTGGCTAACATTTAATTCCTTTTTGAAGATTGTTAGCATTTCTTTCTGTTCTCTACAAATTATGTTGTTGCCCCAGACCTATGGATGGACGTGATAACCAAGGGCTTTTGCTTAGAAGCCTTGTATTTGACTATTCGGCCCAAAACATAAGCCTGCTTGGAAGCCAGGTATTAGGCCCAATATCTAATAAAGCAATTTCAGTTTTTAGATGAGAACTACTTCATGGGAGAAATTCCAAGTATGTTTCATGGATGATCTTTTGTGTCTCTAGTTTCGTCACCTTTACCTTTGTATCAACAATATTATGCACTTGGTCAATAAAACTCAGTACACCAAATCATCTTGCTATAAAACTAAAACACATCTTTTGTTATGTAATCACCTAAGAAAGCAGTATAAATGAAAAGAGAACTTGAGCAAAGGTTTCTGCAGCACCAAATAAACTTGAGGAACCAAGCAACATACATAGTCTTGTTGGGGCATCAGACAACAAAATAACTTAGGCTAAACATACTGGATAGATCAACAGACCATACAGATAATACCACAATGGCTACTGATTCCAACATACTGACATCAAAGCTAGCTAATACATTAATACCTAGGCAGATTAGCATAACAAGCCGGTAAACAGTGATATGCACAACCAGCTGTAAAAAGATAAGCACAAAAGTCTATCATTATCTGCTACGTTCCCAGGTGCCTCTTAAGGCACACAAAACCCACAGTTGTAGTGTCTTCCTCCCTAACTTGTTAACAAAGGGGTCATTACAGCCTTTCTTCCCTGAACAATTAATGTCAAAGTCCCTGGTAGTAGAACAGAATGGAGCACAAAAGGTCTATCGCTGTGGCTTTTGTAATTGTATGTGATGTGAGTTACAGAAATCTTTGTATGGCCTGAAATTGTTTTGCCATGATAAAAACTGATTCTTCAAGCTCTGGATTGCCTTTTGCTCAGCAGGCTGTACGTCTACAAATGGAAGCTCAAAATCCATCCTCACTGGGCTGCAATTGCTATCAAACAAATTGGATGCGGCTTGCTTTGGTCCAGAATGAGGAACTCCAGCTTTTCCACAAACAAATGTTGTCAAGTTTTCATCCATATGCGCCTTTTTACCCTCCTTTCTAGCAGTCTCATCAAGAGTGAGTCTATCATCAATCTGAGGCTCATAAACAAAATATGGCTTCTTTCTCAACTCTCGCGAAGCATACCATCCACTAAACCTGGTTGCATTGGCATTTGATGTTTTAGGAACACAGGCTTCAAGAGCTTCCCTACAGCGACGGCTTACCGAGCTGGTTTCTCCCTGACAAGTGCTGCTCTCTATAGTACCCTTGTTTCTATCTTCAATTGCAAGCAGAAGAGGGATTGGGAGTAGTGGACCAACAAGAGCATCTCCAGATATTGCTTCGCTGGTGAGCTTGTTACCTGTGCCTGAAGGTTTTGCCAACAGGAAAGGCCGATGTTCATCATTGTTTCGAGAACGTGCAGGAACTTCTGGATATTCATATATCAGTTTTCCTTTACTGCATGCAAGCATGTCCTTGTATTTGGAGAATGTAACAAGAAGGCTATCTGAAGATAGCCCATTGTTCAGTATGTGCTGACACCCAGTTTCGAAGATGTTCATGGGCACACTAGCATTGCATAGGAGATCTGAAACTGACCGATAACACGGCGGAGAGTTCTCCTTTGCAAATGCTGATACATCTTCACTAATAACAATTTGGTGGGAGCCTTTGTTAACAACATTATGATTCTCCAACGCGCTGAGCAGATTGCCCTCCAGGTATTTTGATAGGTAATGGAACTTCAAAAACTTATATCTGGAAGAGAACTTTTCACCATGAGCAGTAGTGTCTGGAGAAATAATGGATGAAGTAGTACAAGCCGCAGATTGATGATGTGATCCATCACACATGACATGTTCATCAAAATCTCCAGATGCACGGAATCTTTGCATCTCCAACTTCCCCGACGACGTTAACCGGATCAAAGCAAAGCCAGTGAACGATGACGACGATTCGTCCTGCAGCAATGTGTTTGGAAGCACGTGGTAGCCAACGACGGTGTTCCTAGTGATGGGCTCATGATCAGTGAATACCTCTCTCATAAGCCCATTGCTGCAACTGCAGTGCTGGCCTATCAAAGAAATCCGAGATGGAACATCCCAAGCATACAGGTGATGAGCATTCTGTGAAGAGGAAGAGCATTGGTCCTTGGGGCCACAGAAGAAGAGATTAAACCCAGTACTCCAGAATGAACCAGCCAGAATGGCGATCCCCGAGCTGGACGCCCACTCATGCTCCTTGGAAGGCCTGAGTTGAGATAGGCGAAACATAGCAATATGATTTGGGTTATGGAGGCCATGCTGCCATGCCAGCACGGGTGTCAGAGGCTGCCTGATATCAAGCACCAACAGAAGACGCTCCGTCGCCACCGACATGAGAAAATCGTCGAACGGAGCCTTGCAGAATGCAAGATAGTGGCATTCGCTGTTGAGAGGAGGATCAGGGTCGAACAACCCTTGCATCCCAACCCTCGCTAGAACCTTGCAGTTTCCAGGATGATCTGGACCATATCTGAGATCAAGGAGTAGGATGGCCTTGGTGGTGGCGACGACGGCCGTCCACGGTTGCGGCCCGTAGTCGCAGCTTAGGCAGGCACCACCCTCGGTGGCAGTGGCAGTGCCAACGCGAAGGACGCTTCCACGGCGTTGGTGGAGATCGAAGCAGCAGAGGTGGGCATTGTCGAGCAGCACAAGGCAGTCGGAGTGCAGATGCTTGCTCCAGCACGCGTGCACGACGGCGGCGTCGAACGCCTGCTTGGCCGCGGGCACGAGCGCAGGCGGGGAGGTAGAACTAGAAGAAGAAGACTCAACCTTGAACCAATTGACCGAGTAGGTGGTGGCAGCGAGAAGGAATCCGTGGACAAGGGGGGTAGCTGCTGCTGGTGAGTGCGAATGCGGCGGGGGGCAGGAGGAGGTGGCGGCGAGGTGGTGGATGCGGTGGCCGGGGTGCATGAAGCCGTGGGTGAGGGTCTGCACGGCCGAGAGGGGGGCGGCAGTGGAGTGGAGAGTAGCGTAGGAGAGATGGTCGGCATTGTGGCCGGAAGGGAAGAAGAGGAGGAGAGAGGTGGAGGGAGCGCGGAGGAGGATGGTGGCGAGCAGGTTGGAAGGCGGCGGCGGCGGGCGGAAGGTGGTGGAGTCGGAGAGGGAGCTGGAGAGGGAGTGGAGGTCGGGGGTGGGGAGGAAGGAGGCGGTGGAGCTGAGAAAGTAGCGGAGGGCGTCGCCGGTGGACTTGGAGTGCGGGGGATGAAACTGGAAGGCGGGGAAGGGGATATTGGTGTGGAGCGTGGCGGGAGGCGGGAGGGGGGAGAAGAGGAGGGGTCCATACCCATTCCCATTCCCATTCTCGTTCCGGTTTGCGACGGCGAGGGACGGCGGCGCAAAGACGGAAGAGACGGGGAAGAGGAAGCGCCATTCCTCCGACAGGTTCATGCTGCTCGGAATCGGATCGGAGCCTGCAGGTGGTTGGGTGGGTGAGCACCTGAGCGGAATGTGGGAAGAGCCCTGCCGGCTGTGCAGCGCACTCATAATCGCTTCTTGGACATCCCGCCTCCTTCACCCACGCTCCCGCGTCTCCTCAGCTTCAAGCCTAGCTGCTACTATCCCCTCTCCTTTGGTAGGGGTTCACATCCAAAAGGCAAAGTTTGCCGTTGCTGCCATCCACACCCTTCGTTTTGTGATCAACTGTTACATGGTTAGACCCCTTTCATGACTAACTAGTACCTGCTATTTATAATGATAGAATTTACTCTCCAAAAAGAATATCAAGAAAAAAAGATAAGACCTCCACAAGCAATGTTGCGACAATGCGCTCCACTGCCGGATCCGACGTTGATGAGCACCCGGTTGTCAGCACCCTGATTTGCCGCTCTCTTCATGATACTAGTAACAACGAAGTATTTATCAGCTCACCTATATAACAAATAATATAGATGCCAATATGCGTATATATGAATCTTTATGTGTAAACGACTAGACTAGTAGCAACAGAGGATCAATATTAGTTGATATCAATCCAATGACTCAGACAAATTAAACCAAGTAGTTTATATATATCCACTGATCGTAAAGATAATAGGCAAAAATATACTTACAGAAACGACACTTAGACCAACCCCAACCAAGATCCACATTAAGGTCTCGACTATAGATGGCCATAAGGCCCGAGGCCTGATGGCCCGGCCCAAGCACAGCATGACACGACTGTTGTCTGGCTCGTGCCGGCCTGGCCCGATAGTTGGGCCGTGCCTGGGCCGATGTCTTAGCACAGTGGGCCGACCCAGAACGACACGGTTAATGGAAAATAGTTGAGGGATCCCAAATAAACTTAATAAACCATATAAGACACGGCCCGAAGAGTAAAGGAACACAAAATATACTTGTTACAGCCATTTAATATAAGACAACCCAAAGAGATTAGGGAGGAAAAATAGACTTATTTTATGAAGAAGCATGATAAGCTATCGTTCCTTCGGGCAGGCCCAAGATTTGTTAGGTCATGCTTGAGCTGTGCGTGTAGCCTGTGGGCAAGTCCAGCCCGGCCTAGCTTGTTGGTCGGGCCGTGCCGGCCCGATTGACCTCAGCCCAGGCCCGATCATGCCTGGGCCATGCCGGGCCAGGCAGCCCATTTGATCATCCATAGTCTTGACCGGCGAAGATGTTTCACTTGATCCACCACGTGTCTGATCAGCCTCCTAACCGTAGACGTAGAAAAACAATGGGAGCACCATTGGTCGTGGCGGCGAAGTATTTGCAACCTCGATGACAAACCAATAAAAATCCAATCGATCTCCCCTCTATGGCTTCGGCTGTCTAGCAATATATGGCACATATATAGGCCCAGGCGCCCAGCCAACCGGACTCTTGAATAACACTGCAGGCATGCAAGCCGAGCCTATATGGGAAAAAAACACCTTTAAATCCTAACCTTAAAAATAATAAAATAATAAAAAAACTGTCCGTGCGCTGCAACGAGTAAAAGCGTTTTTTCAATGGTATCAACAGGTATGAGGAGTTTAGCAATAAATTGAAACATTAATATCTATCGCTACATACATTATAATCGAAAAGGTTAATGAAAATTCTTCCTTGGTTTGGGCAGAAAGCCGACTCCTTTCTTCCTTTTCAAATTCAGCCAAGTCTGCTACCTCCATTAGCTCGCCTACCTCTCTTCGGTCCAGCCCATGGAGCCGTAGGACCAGCGTCCAGCCCATAAGTGGAGCTGTAGGACTAGCATCCTCAATCTCGCCTACCTCACTTCGGTCCAGCCCATAAGTGGAGCCGTAGGATCAGTATCCTCAACCTTTAGAAGACAGTCCTGTCCCATGCACGTACTATGTCGGAGACTATCCTCTCCACCAAATCCGATAAACTACTAGGGAAAGCTCGCCGGTCAGCCATCATCAAAATCAATTAAATCTGGCGAATTAGAGCCACATTGATTGAAAGAGTAAATCATGATGAAAATGACGAGGGAAGAGTCGGGAATTGATTTTTCAATCAGTTGAAAGAGGAAACATACTGGGAGGCATATTAATGTGGCGGGCAGTGCTAGAGTTCGGCCCGGCAAGGTTGGAGGTGTGCTCTGTGTGTGGGATCAGACGGGCCTAGAGGAGACGGATGAAAAAAACTGGAATACTTACCTATTTTTTAAGTAGGCATAGATAGATTTGTAAGGACTCGAATAGGATCTCTTGTGTATAAGTGCTAGTCCAGGATCAAACTAGCACACACAGACACAAAGATAATATTACAACCAACATCACGAAGGAAACCTAATATTTAGTATTAATAATAACTATGATAATCCTTATGGCTAAAGTTTACATTTATTCTGCCACGAAGGGCCTAAGGAAAATATTAAAATAGTAGCGGAAATAAGATAAACGTGTAGTAGTTCGATTCAACTCACCACAGGCAGTCAACTGGGACACACGACATATTCCTCGTCTTCAGCAGTAAACTCCTTAGGAAATAGTGGAAACCTTTCTTCTGGAATTGGGGGAATTGCAAGGTGAGTACATGGAATACTCAGCAATTACACGTTAATATTCATATGCAAGGCTGACGAAGAAAGCGATAGCTATTTTGCATAATAGAGCAATTTGCAGTTATAAACAATTTATAAACAGAGATTTGAACAACATTTATAAATAACTGGTGTTACCATCCATCCATCCACACAGGACCTCATAGCTATATTCATTAACCTGCACACAGCTCATTCCCATATTTCACAAACTACCCCTCATGAGATATCACCGAGCATGTCCATGACCGCTGACGCGGCTATTCGAATAGATTAGTTTAACACTCTACAGAGGTTGTACACCTGGACCCACAAGATACATCGTCCTTTTAATGGCCATGCGTAAATTTCATACTTCAGGTTGTGTGCGGCCAAGGAGTCTATAATGAGGCTTTTTAGAAACTCCGTCCCAACGATACCTTCCCCCATGAGACACATTTCCCTCACACAGACAAGAAAGTACCCCTGGCTAACATAAACTCCTATCATCTAGCCACCTGGGCCGACAGTGCCAAGACTCGGAATCATACTAGGCCTGGTTCTTTCCATGAGATCATGTGGTTGCACGTTAGGCTCAGATCAATTAATGGCTTATGAAGTCAAGTCTTTAATTGACCAAGGCAACTTACCAAACTACAAAAGCACACAGCTCAACAGTAGACTGACAGAGAGACCGTACCCAACAACGATCACACATGTACATGACCACCTAACCAGGTTCACATAGAACCACCCAGCACCCCGGTCGAAAATGTTCTATCCGCCCATTGTTTACTACACGGTGCAACACATGCTACCGGAAAGATAGCACACATCCAAACAGTTCATATAAAAGTGATTACAAGTATATGATTAATCAAAATTGTATTTTGCTTGTAAAACAACATTAAACGGGGCTAAGCATAACTACTCTACCTTGAGTTGAGCCCAATGTTCAACTCACAAAGACTAGGGTGACAAGGTATCATGGACAATCAATAATTATCAAAGGTAGGATAATAATAACAATTAGGTCATGCTACCCATCAATAGTTTATAAATAAAGTAATGCATGTATTCAAAACAAAACATTTTACAAATGGGCTCCATATGTTCAAAGAGTGCACTTGCCTTGATCCCAGTACTGTCCTTGCATAGCGTCTTCTGAAATGAACTGCTCTTTTGCTTCAACATCTACATGGTCGCAAACGAAGAACAAATAAACAAAAGAAAAATCTAACTAATTAATATCAAATGAAATAACCAATTAAACCAGGAGGTAGAGCTCGATTATTTTAGAAGAATTTAGGAAGAAGAACTGGTCGAATCGGAGTTCGAATGACAAAGTTATGGCTTCCGGAAGTTTGAATTTACAGAAAATCCGAAGATAAAAGAAAAAGGAATATTCCGGGAATATTCTCTGGATATTTAATTTCGGAAATTTGATTATTTTTGAATAGGAAAATATGGTGGGCCTACTGTCAGTCAGGGGTATAGAGTTAGTGGACTCGGTTGATGTAGACAGACATGTGGCGACACATGCCAATGAGATGGCACCGACAGGATGGATCTAGGGCTGACGTGGCATAGGTTAGGGTTATATAGATCTAACGGTTGAGATTGAATCTACGGGGTTTGGATGGCTGTGGTTATTTGGGGATTTTTTTGTTGTGGGATCCACAGGTCAGCTACACAGGGGAGGAGGAAGTGCAGCCATGGCTCCATGGGCACGCTCCGGCGCAACGGCGTCGACGATAGTGTTCTGCGGCAACGGCGCACGGGGGCAGCGACTAGCGGCGGCATCGGTAGGAGGAGGCGGAGGCGAAGCTGGTGGCGTGGCACGGCGCTCCGGGATAGCGTGGAGGCGGTGCATCGCGATGGGATTGTGTTGACGCAAAAAACACACACTGGCCTGGGAGATCTGCTTAGCTCCAGTGCAGGTCCAAAGATTGATGAGGTGTGGGCATGCCAGTCAGTTTGATCTTGCAACTGACAAGACATGTGAACATCATATCAATAAGCCGATCGGCTGACAAACCGATCGATGGAGTAATTTCAGCCGATGCCGATACCAGCCGATAGCAATAGGGTTTCGAGCTATCGACTAAGTGTTTAATGTGGAGCCTGACACTTGATGTAAATACCAATATAAAGACAATCGGCTGATGATAATATGATATAACAATAATATAGTCCAATAGAAACCAATCGGCTAATAATAATATGATAGGATAAGTGTTGATCCGAAGGTTAAAGCATACATCGGCTGGAGGTCCGATGTCGTAAAATCCACAACATTAGATTAAACAATAAAATCTTTGTTGCCATCGGCTAAATCTAACTTGTATGTAATCCTTGTAAGCCGATGCAACATCCAGATAACTCATCGGCTGAAACCCCGATGAAACCCTTATTGACAGTCAAAAAGCAGGATTGGGACTATGCTAAACACGACTTAGTAGATCAAATTTAACTGATGCAACAGTAAGTATGAAAAGAAACATAATATCTAGACAACAAA